CAGTTGTGACCTCTCTTTTCAAATGTACGTTTGCAGTGAGTGAGCTCCTCAGCCTCGGACTTGTCACTTGTGCACCCAGTAGTTCTTTCACTTGGCAATTATATGCCATCAGTTGGGGTTTAATTTCTATTATTTATGTATACATTATGAAGACTTCCTGGAGCTCCGAACGAGTGTTTTGTGCAGATTACTTTTGCAAGCACAAAAAGACTATACCAAAGCAGCGGAATTTTCGAAGTGTTTGCGAGTTGGACCTAAACTCGTTGAAGCAAATTCTTCCGCCTGACTGTTCCACCAAAGTGAGTGCGACGGACTACCTGTGCTACCATTGCTTCATGCACATCACTAAGGAGATCTCGATGCGAAGCTCAGAGCAGTGCCCTGACATATTTGTGCCAGCTGAAGAAGCAATTGAAGATCTAAATCGCAGCATACTACCTACAGATGTGTCGCCGCTGAGACAACCAAGCGTCGTAAGAAGTCGGGACAGGCCTGCCTATGTCAAGAGAAAGCAGACAGAACTGGAGCAGGTTGCTGTCAAGAATATACGCTCAAGGCTACGTATTGCGTACGACAGGGACGCGCCATCGGGGTCGTCCGAACCAACATGCTCCACATGCACTGAGTGGGTGGACAACTTTCGGCAGGCCTTTGAAACCGCCACCTCTCTCCGGGAACGTTGTCAACTGCTTACACTCCTGCCGTCAACACTGACGAAGAATGAGGTTCAAAAGATGATTCCACAGGCCTCAATGTACCTCATCAGTAAATCCCGAAAACTCAAGGAAAAGCATGGCGTGTGGTATGAGCCGGATCCTTACACGAGGTGCAAAGTGAGCCCTGAGAACCTGTCTGCTGCCCTAGAGTACTTCACGAAAGTCGAGCTACAATGTTCGCGCCAAAGTCCCAACCAGAAGGACGTCATCTCTGTCATGCTCAACGGAGAGGAAACGTTCGTGCCAAAGCGCTTCATGACACGCTCAATACGAGAGGCCTTCCGTATATACAAAGACAAGCATCCCGATTCCGGCGTTGGGCTAACGAAATTTTATTCGTTGCGCCCTAGATGGGTCCAATGTATTCCACACCAGGAAGTGTGCGTTTGTGTGCGCTGCGCCAATTATTATCTTCGTATTGCCGCTCTAGAGAACGTTACAGGCTCAACATTCAACACTGGTGAAATGAACTCGGCATTTCTGTGCGACCCAGCAACAGAACTGTGCCTTCAAGGAGACTGTGATCACTGCCCAAAAGGCCAGTTTCTTACACTCCAGGAACTTGATATCCCGGAGGATGAAGAGATTGTGCTTGCAACATGGGAGTCCGGCGACCTTGTGAAAAAAACTTTGGAACCTGAGACTTTCCTAAAAGTCATCCAAGTGACGGTTGGAAGTTGGGTACTTCACAACCATATCCGGCAAACGCAAGGTAAAGCGATCTACGATGAAAAACAGTGCATGCAACGCGGGAGCATTGTCTTTCATTTTGACTTTGCTGAAAACTGGACCATCGTGCTTCCTGACGAAGTGCAAGCATATCACTGGAAAAAAAAAACAAGTTTCGATATTTACATGTGTAGTGACGACAAGAAAATCTACAAACAGCTTTGCCATCATCAGTGAGGACCTGTGTCACGACGCCGCTCACGCTTGCTTGGCTCTAGAAAAAGTGAAGAAGTGGGTTGAAGACAACGTTGCGGTATACTCGTGCGTGACGTACGTAAGTGACGGCGCCGCCAGTCATTTCAAGAATCGCTACCAGCTTCACCAATTTGCAAAGGACGATTGCCCACAAGCCCAGTGGTTATTTTCTGCATCTGGACATGGGAAAAATGCATGTGACGGAGTTGGCGGACTCGTGAAGCACCAGGCCACGCTGAACAACCTGAGAGAACGTTCAGTAAGCGCAATTCAGACGGCCAGGACAGTGGTGAGCGTTCTATCGAAGAAACTGAAAGGCGTGCATCTTGTATATCTGGACGAAAATGAGGTTGTTCGGTATCGTGAACAAAAAAAAAAGAAGAGTGGCTGACGGTGCGCGCCTTCCCTGGCATTCAGTCTTGGCACGCGTGGCGGCTCAGCAAGTCATCAACAGAAGGGACCTGTGACGTATATGTAGCACGGACAGTCGGATCTGCTTGGAAGCAACTTTATTAAATGGGTACAGCGAGAAAAACCTTAGCGTAAATTGCCGAATTTGATTTCCCAAGGACTGCTCATTTTGAATGCAGGGACATCTTATTTATCACATTTTTCTTCACGGGGTATTTAACCTACTGTTTTTGTTGGTGGTTACTAATAATTTTTATCTGATCACTATAAAAAAAATCCCAAAATGTTATCCTCGAGCAGGATAAAATATATCGGCTTGCCACGATTCATTCATACACCGAGAGCATCGAAGCTGCTCCAGTTAGGCACTATGGCATCCGTCACCTGAAATTGTTTGTAATCGTAAATACACAGCCAACCTAAATATCTTACTATTATATCTTTGTTTTTGTGTGTGGAAGTAAGGTTATTTATTTTACTCTAGATGTAAAATGTACCGGAAGGTACAACTTCACACTGCATCATCTTTTCTCAAATCATTAGTCTCTAATATGATACCACTTTGTACGCTTATGTAAAATGCTGTATATAGTTTCTCCTCCCTTTTACTGTGTGACCGATCGCTCTTTTTATCAATGACCTCATCTGAATAAATGTATATAAAAGATTTGTGCAAGTTTCATGAAACTGGAACTCAGAGTCACTTCTTGTATAGGACACTGCTAAGTGTAGGCTTTGAAAAAGGACCCTACTTTGGGGAGTTGTTTCTTCTTTCACAGTGCAATGATGCAACATGTTTTTAATATAAATGAATGCCGAAATAGAGTATAACAGGGTACCCAAATTTAAAAAAAAATCGAAGGTGGTGTTTTTTTTTTATTCGCATTGGAATTTTTCTTTGCTTGATTTTTTTCCCATGTTTGCCTAAATATATTGTAACTATTGTGTCACTCAGATACCTTATTTATTTTTTCAATAATAGCCATATATTAGTAAAATAATGTCTGCAAGTTATGTAATAATGATTAAATTATTTCATGAGATACAGATTTCCAAATTTTGCCATTTGTCGTTCGAGCAGGCATGTTTGGCAATTTTTAGAAAACTAAATAAATTTTTAATAAATATTATTACTTTATATTACAAGCAAGTTGTACTCATAGTTTGTTTGTAAAAAGTTTCAAAATTCTCCTAATTTTATTGTTTTAATTATTCACTTTCAAACTTGCCCCCTCCATCAGTGCGCGTTATTGCAACTGTCCACCTCTCCCTGCCTTACGATTTTTTTTGTCTCCAAATTTTTTTTCTGGTCAAAACTAAGTGTGGATTCGTTTATACCAGACACTAGACAATGTCATATAAAAACATCAGTTGATTTAAAAATGTCGACCAGCCACCCTTTGGTCGATCTTATCTGAAATCACCCAACTGTTTCACGGAGCGAGCTGACGTCATCATTTTGAAGCGGCGCGAAAACGGCACCTAGTTTCCCCGATCCTTCGATTCCATTGGCTAACGCGCGTCGACGGGGCTCCCATTAGCCGCTGCGCTCGTCAGTTTCCACGACCGCTCACCCCATGGCGCTGCGTGGGGTAAGCAGCACGCCGTTAACACGGAGCGTCCAAGGTCAGCGTGCCCAGGGGGGCACGCCACCACCACCTAGACAGAAGGCCTCCGCGTGGTTTCCTCTTCCTCTATGAAACGTCATCACAGTCGGATCGTGCTCGGTCGTCTATTGGACCCGAGTCCGACCTTCGACGCGCTGACTGGCAACGAGCCGCAGCCGAACACTGACGCAGCACTCGTGCCCAATCTCTCGCCTCGATCGATCTGACTATGATGGCGCGTGTGGAGGCCTTCTGTCCAGGTGGTGTTGGGCACGCGCGCTGGCCGGTGACGAAAAGTGCGCAGCAGACGAAAAAGGGAGCGGACGAGCAGACGACAAAGGGAGCGGGAACGGCTTGCATGCTTTCGCATTCACAGCTCATAAGAAGTGTTTAGGTGTACCTCGTGCTTTTTTTTTTTATGCACCTATATTTTCTGGATCCGCGGCTTTTACCCTTTTGAGTATGCTATTTAATATCGCGAAATTGAGAATAGTTATTGTGAAATCGGAAAATAAAAATGATGCCAAAACCAATATTCAAATATGCCCGCGCTTGGTTTTGCACTGAAGTCATGGCAGGCAGGAGCCTACATCTCGCCAGTCGAGCAGGCAGTCTAAAAAATGGCCTACGCCGAGCATTCGTTTCGTGCTTCTGCGCGGGTGCTGGAGCGAACTTCCAAAACATTCATTTGACACTATTGAACTGCTTGTTATCAGTTGGGAATGAATCATATTGTCCCCATCCTGCCACTGGCGTCACTTTTCTTTTTTTTTTTTTTTTTTTTTGCCAGTAAATATTTTTAGTTTGAAAACACGATGGGGACTTAAATTGTAATAATAATGATAATAATCATCTTTATTTTCAGGGAAAACGTTACCCCGTGTGGCCTTCAACGTTGGGATAGAAAGGCGAGGGCCGTGCGCTGGTGCACGTTAGCCTGCCACCCAAAGAATTTCAATAACTTCGAGCAAAAAAAATATATATATATATGTATATTGAACTAATATTTGGGATGCTCTTTCAGCGATGTGTGTAGTGTGTTTAGGAAATTTTCAGACAAATCGGGGACCACGAAGAGAACGCCGATGCACACCTCCTAAATACATCTGTACCCCGCGGTAGTACACTCTACCCGTGGTAGATAAAGCGGATTACGCGTCCGCTAGGCACATTTATGCACACAGTGTTAGCGTGGTCATAATGTTTTGTATATCTATCATTAGAAACATCAGCACTTTACAAAGCCCCCTAGAAATTCTGGGTTTCGGTTTCAGTTTCTCTTCGAATGACAGCGTTTAGCCTTTCTGGTCTGGCAACGCTGCATCTCGCGCTTTCTCGTTTCGGACGATACTTAGTTTTGTAATGGCGGGCCTGTTTTAGCGGAGCTGGGTGACGATGGGAGAATTAAGTTATGTTTCTAAAGTTGTCGTACCACTCGGCCCGGTCTACTGTCATGCTATGTCGTCGGTCACTAGTGGAAACAGTTTACGAATAGAAACGCACCCGCCATGGCAGACGCCGAGGCTGAAAACAAAGTAAAAAGTGCAGTGGAAGCCTGCGTCACGGCTCAAGCGATGATAGATATCAATTCCGAGCATCTCGATGGGCTTCGAACTCAGTGTGCAACCAGCGTGGAATTGACCCAGAATGAAATAAGAGCACTCGAAGTAAGTGGACTCCCCTTTTTTCCACTCCTTCGCTTTGTTTTAGGACGAGCTATCCTTAACTGGGTGAACCCGGTTTCCCAATCAAACTTGGCTTGAGAAATCGGGAGCACCTACAGATGCTCCTTCGAGGTGTTTCGATAACTGTTTCGAAAAATGTTTAGCGAAAGGAGTGTGGGCAGTATGAAGTGTCACCCAGTTTTTGAGTTTCCCCACAGATCCACGTATTTCTGTCGCCCCGTATTCGTTTCCTTCCTGGCTATGGCGTGCCGGCTGCTTTGATGCAGCGCATATTGGAGCCGTAGGAACTTAACATCGAACTATTCGTCGTTTACTTCCTGCGATCATATTGTTTGCGATCACTTCGTTTTTGCGAGGCTGTGGAGCTATTCCTTCCGTATTACGCGAACGCTAAGTGCTCCGTGGGCTCGTGCGAACTTCCGTATCCACTCGCTGCAAGTTTTAATTCGTGTCAAGGGTGACTGGAAAGAGGCATTAAATTGCTCGCCCGGAGCGAGTCGCTGGATTCGCATTACAGGTAGTCAGGATGCTTAATAGGCATTCCAGGACACCACTCTGTAATTTAACGCCGCCCGAGAGTTCCTGGGTAAACTGAGCATAAAAGACTGCCATTCTGAAGACGTCGAAGAAACCCTAGCGTAGGCGTTCGGAGACAGTTCGATGTAAAACGCAGTGTCCGCCTGCATCGTTATTATTATTTTACACGAACTGACCCATTCAAGGTGCTACCGATTGCCGATGCTTGCAATAATACATGTTCTGTCTTTGAGTCGCATAAGCTGCTGTGTCTTAGAACATGTGCCTATTCTATGCCCATTCATTACTTTTTTTCATAACGAAAAATTTGCATTTTCAGCTAATACCATCTGTGTATTGCGTATGTAGGTCAGTGTTCAAGAGAGGTCCCTTCTGTCCATATTTTTTTTTTACCTGTTCATCGTGGATGAGATCATATTTTATTTGGTGATGCATCGAAGGCTTAATTTCTGCTCCGCATGTTTCTTTATTTGTTGTCAAGGTTTGGTGCTTTATGATTTTTAGGTTTTTGTGAACATGAAAGTGAATGTGTTTCTGCGCTAGACCAGCTTCATCATAAAGCTTGTGTAAGATAGACGTATCCTGGATATAGACGCAATTTCCAGAATTTTTAAGGCTGCTCAAACTGCTGTCTGGTATTTCAAGAATGACCAGTGAGGTGGTGAAAGAAATAGACCATTCCAGAAATATGCAGCAGCACCATCTTTGCCAGCACCACCATCTTTGCAACACACTACAGCAGTGATTTTACATATAGCGCATGATGGCATACCCACGAATAGGAGGAGCGGTTCATGTTGGTTTAGCATCTTGCAATTTGAGAACGCATAGAAAGCAGGACGATAACAAAACCAGGAACCTGTGAGCTTTATTGTGCATTCATTTTGCTTTCCGTTTCTTCTGAACTCACAGTGGTAAGAAACAAGGGACTGTGTCGGTTCCAGGATGTACGGAGCATGCGAACTGGCTGAGGCGTACCTCAGAATGGCCCCACAATTATCTGCACCACGTGGTGCAATAAGGAATTGCCAAGAGGCCTTGAGGAATCCTCTAGAAAGTTTAATTGCTTGTCCACCTTGATGTAATATCTTACAAATGGGCACATTCCAGTCTTTCCCTGTAAGCCCCTCCAAAATCATTGTGAAGGCTTTTTGAGCTCGGTAAAAAATTTTGTGCTGTTGTGAATTTACGAATTGCTTTTATGACATCTACTTGCAGACAAAACTAATCAAGCTTTTCAGCCGTCAAGTAGTGGCTAAGAAGAAATATGCCGGCACCGAAAATGCTAACGAACTTCAGCACTACCCCAAGTTGGTGCTCTGGCTCAAGGTGGTCGGGCTGTCTGCGAAATCCATTGAGGTACTTGTAGAAACCGTTGCTCGCCGCCTGAAAGAGGTTTTTCAGTTTTGAATAGGCTTACCTTTTTGACTGTTCTGATTTCTGGCCTTCTTTATGGGCTGTAGTTGAGCTAGTTACTTCATGTTTTTTTTTTTTTTTTTTTTATGTCAACAGCTGAACAGCCTAGACGAAACACGGGGATAAGAAATGAACGAAGAACACCGGTGCCTTTGTCCATTTTTTACCTTGATTTTCCGTCTCCTTGTCCAGCTGTCCACAGTAGCAAAAAATGCTCATATTCTGTCTTCCTTGTTGCCAGAAAAAGAGATGTGCAGCAATAGGTCAAGTTTACCGGTTTGAAAGGGCATACCAGCTGATTGTTGTTCTTTCTTAAATTTTCCGAATCTCGCAGTACCTTTAGAGGTTCCCTGGGGTTTTGTTTTCCCGGCATGATGATGCACTAACGTGCCTGCATATTAACTCTCATTTCAGTAATTACAAATTTGCTAGTTTTGTGGCAGACAATGTGGCCTGGCTCTGGATAGAGGTACACTCACAAATTCCGTATCGTCCGCACATCCGCAGGGGCTGTCAAACAAGCTCACCACCTTCGACGACATGCTGGAGAAGCCGGAGCAGGAGGTCAAGGGTTTCCTCAGCGCAGTCAACGCCCGAGAGGAAGAGAAGCGGAGGTTCCTCATTGCCATGCGCAACCTCAAGGCGTACACAGGTAGGTGCAAGGCGCAGGGCTCCGATTCCTCTCCTCTTGATTTGCCGTTCATTACATTGTCGCGGCAGTTTATTGATTCACTGGTATACCCCAACGTAAAGAGATCCAGTTATAAGCTAGGGTTCCGTGTTTTTCAGTGCACACTTTTGTTGGGGAACAAACAAAATAGCATTTATTTGCGCTTATGTTGAAGCAAACGGGACTCAGAAATGGGATTTCCCAACCCCAGGGAATATGCGACTGACCACAGTACTGTAAAAACATTCCGGGACAGACTCGAAGAGTGGAACGGGACAGTGGACATGCTTCCCGAAGGAAGAAGCAGCCTTACAGACAGTTGGGCAGGGTTTGTGTTATGTCTTAACACAGAATAAAGCCGTAGATAAATATTTCTGTCTGTGAATCTGTGAAGTTTTGGTTTTTCTCGTTCAGGGATGGATCTAATTTAAGGTCTTCAGGTTTTCTTCGATTTTGACAAAACGAACCTGAGGGTTCCTCCTCAGGGTTTATTCATAGTTACCGAAAACACAAAACCCCATCCATGGGTACAAAAAAAGGGCAGTATGACGATATGATGATGATTCATTCATTCATTCATTCATTTGTTTGTTTATTTTATATGCTGATGAACAGCTGATGCCTTGATAATGAAGCACGCCAGGGAGAATGGAAATTAGTAGTGATGGACCGAATCCGCCGAACTTCAGATTTGGCAAAGTTCGGCACATGCCAAACTTCTGAAGGAAAGTTCAGCAAAGATTCGCGACAATGCCATGGATTGCAAATGGACGCCGTGCAGTCACCATCGTATAGTGTAGTACTACCAGCGGTTTTGGCGAGATGTGGAGTAGGCAGGGCGGTAGCTCTGCATTTGTGAGTCTTTGCGTCTTTCCGAGTGTGGTTCTCTTCACATACACAGCCCACTGTGCAAGTGGCAAATAGTGTGGCACATACTGGATAACGTGATTTTCATTTAACCTTTGCAGTGATGCAACGAGGTAGTTCAAGCATTGACTTACAATTAATTTAAAGCACTCCTCGCAATTATAACAATCCTCTTTTCGGCTCACAATTCATTTGTGCCAAAACAAAATAATATTACATTTTAGTTAGCATTATTTCGCAGTTTTCCATGTAGCTGCATAAAACTAAACACAAAACTATCATGCTCGATGTTGTACATCCGACGTTCCTAACTCTTCCCATCTTAACCATGCGTGTGTGTCTAACACCGGAAATTGGATGCAAAGCTGACATCAAGGGACTCAAATAAAGAAACATACATAGTTACAATAATATTGTTATCTCTTCTGATGAAGGTTCAGCAGCCATTGCATTTGTTTTCGTACACGAACAATGACTCCCGGAGAAAGAAAGAACGCAGTGTTATTGCCTTTATTTTAACAATTTACACACTTGCAGGCTTGCACTGATAAGGACTCAAAATTGAAATTCTCGTAGTGTGATTCGTGACTGCCCAAGTACTACCCAACCTCGTTGTCACGCCACTTCTGCAAGAAGTCACTGTAAAATTGCCAGTAGACACACAAAAACGACACTGATACAATTATCTTGTAGAATATCATCTTAGTTAGTAATAACTGTGTCAATATGCATTACATGTTGCATTTAGGTTAATGAAAAAAAAAACAACAGATAAAACAATTTTTTGCCAGAAAGAACTAAATATCAACATTAAGTCTGGCAGCCATGTATATTTGCCGAATCTTTAGAAAAGCTAGTCAAAAGTTTGGCTTTGCCGATTCCTAAGATTCTGCGCCAAATTTTCAATTCGTCCCACCATTTCTGCTGCATCCGTCCGTATGGCGGGCGGACAGTGTAGGGAGGGGGCACCGGCCGAACACACCTGAAAAAATTACCGCATCTCCACGTGGTGAATGATGTTGATTGGGGGGAAGCTCTGGTGGTGCTGATGATACTGATTTTGTTCATAGGTATTGCTGAGGGTGCTGATTTTTTTTAGCCTTTATTGCTCATAGGTAGTGCTGAGTTCCGGGTTGCGTTTCGACTTCATTAGCCAATGCATGCAAAGTTTAACGCGATTATATGCTCATTTGACCGCAGCGCCCTCTCCATTATAGACGTTCAGCGGCTAGATGCAATGTTTCCTCCATGACATCCCCCAGCTCTTGAGTTACTACCACATCACAGAGCCCCCTACTCGTCCCGCAGTCGTGGCCGAGTGGTTAAGGCGATGGACTAGAAATCCGTTGGGGTCTCCCCGCACAGGTTCTAATCCTGTCGACTGCGCAAACATTTTTTTCTTTTTTTAAGAAAACGGATGGGATGGCAATCGATGTGAGCATGGACGCCGGACAAAGCGTCCATGCGTCCAACGTGTTTTAGGAGCTTCGCCCCTAAAACACGTTGGACATTCTAGGAGGCTTGTTGACCGCGGTTTCCGCCGCAGACCGCCAGCTGCGCGGGGACGTGGGCACGGAGGTGGACCTGCACTGGGACTCGTGGGACCGGGGCAGCGTGGGCCAGCTTCCCCGGCGGGTGCACACGTCCGTGCCCTCGGAAGAACTTTGCGGCGGCTCCCGGCTCGAGGTCGGTCGTGGGGGAGGCCGGCCTCCGACCACGCCCCCCCCGTCCAAGCGTCCCCACGCCCCGGCGAGCCTGGGCATGCCCGATGCCCTGCCGCTCACCAAGAGCCGCTCGCACGAGGCGCACCTTGAGAACCGGCTCGAAGGGGGCCCCGAACCGCAGGGACTGCCGTGAGTGACCTTTGTAGTCCGCTCGACCGCGATTCAGTGTCCGGATCGCACGCTTCCCGCTAGTGTGAATGGTGTCGAGCTTGACTACTGCACTGTTTCGTAATAGGAGGCATGTTTTCTCTTGAAGGGCAACTCCGCTCCATTTTTGTTTTTGAAAAAACGGTGCAGTCCTGTTTAGTATCGCCTAGGAAGTGGGCACATCAAATATGACCTAGTTCTGTCTATATGTTCCTTAAACAGTCCAGCAAACTTTAGAGCGTGCCAAGTTGCCAAAATCGGCCGACTCTAGCGGGCAAATTGAGGCACTAGCGGGCGATTTGAGGCGCAATCAACGGTGCAGTCGGGGCTATGGTATTGGCATACCCAACATTGAGCCATGCTCCGTCTGACTCTACAATGGGCTAGGGCCTGAAGGCTGACAGGCGGAGCACTACCTCAGAAAAGCTTGTATTTGTATTGCAAAAGTGTGCGCGACAGAGATTGTGATATGCAGAGTATGGACAGCACTAATCTAAAGCATATGGTTCTCTGTTGTCATAGCCGCATTTTTATATTGCAGAAGTAAAGGTACATGGTGCTCATTTTCGTAAATATTCGTGCCATATTTCGTAAACATGTCAACTGTTGGGAAAATTTGGAGGGCATGCAGGCAACACTGACATAAAGTCGTTTCGCCTTAGCCATAACAATCCAATTCTAGCGGCGACCGAGACACGTACGAGGCTGACAGCGGTACAGATGAAGCACATGCAGATGGGTCACCAGTCGAGATTCTTTTAGTGTCGTAATTATTCGTGATGTGACAAGTAACTGGGAACACACGTGTAAGTAGAACAAAATCCCAGCAAGCAGACGGAGCTGCCGTGCGGGCTCAGTAAGCAAACGAAAAACTCACCTCTGCATGACGTGTCTTGGCGCACCAATACGTTTAGGGGGACATGGCCTCGGAATTCAAAATTTTCAGAGAGAAACGTTTTTTTCAAAAATGATGTGTTTATGTTCCAAAGAGTGGTTTCAGGAACTTTCATTTATAAACATACAGGATTTATCTCAGAATAAATTATTTTCGACATGTCGGCATCCCTCCGAGTCAGCAGGGAGCAAGTTTTTTGCGTTTTTTATTTAGCGCTGCTTCATACTCGTTTAACCTACCCACAGCATCTCACCTTCATTGGAAGTGCTATTTACTCTAGATTTAGCCTGTAGAAGCTTTCGAAGTTTACAAGTATCAATGGCCAGGAGGACCCAAACATCCAAATAGAAAAAATTCTGAAAATTTGGTATGAGCAATCTTATTGGTTGAGACCCAAAACAAGGTTTACGAGTGCCCCTGCCCAGTGATGTGATATTGTGTCATCTTCAGTAACACCCTTTCACAGTATCTTCCACTTCAGACCATATTCCTGCTTTGCTGCTCTTGCTTAGTATGATTTGCCTTGCCAGTTTATCTGCCAACGAATGCCTGCTATAAACGTTAGCTAGCCTACAAATGACACAAACTGGTAACTATTGCTAGTGGAACAGGGAAGTCTCGAAGAGGAAGGGGCTAACAATGCGCTAGGTGAATTTTGCCTACCTCGGACTAGCAGAAAAGGAAGAAACCTAAAGTTGAAACTTCAAATGCATTTTTCTCAGTTTCACTTTTTGGCGGGAAATGTGGTATGAGGAAATGTATCATTGGACATTTTTAAAGTGTAAAGATTTCATTCGGTGGTGTCCTTGACTGAAATTTCCTGAGGAACAAGTTAAGGTACTCATAATCTGAAAAAAGCTAAATTCTTCATGACAAAAACTGAATATTTTAAAACTCAGAAATTTGTTAAAATTCTCCATTCTCCAGGGATTATTTTCGTCATTCTTGTCCAGGTTGCTTGCACCTTTGCATTTTATTGCATTATACTTATAACCTTAAAATTTGCAAGCTTCACCCTCGTTGGTGTTAGACTGGTGGCAGCTGATAAAACCCGTTTGCTCTACTGATGTCTAACCCCCCGTTAGCTCAGTTGGTAGAGCGCTCCACCTGTAATGGAGAGGTCCCGGGTTCGATACCCGGACCAGGCGGATTTTTTCGGTCGCTCACCAGTCACCTAGCTGTGTTTGGAGATTTATGTTTGTCCTTTGTCCCTCTTGTTCCCATTCTCCAGGGATTATTTTCGTCATTGTTAAAATCGTTTGCTCTTTTTGGGTGTTATTGTTTTTCTCTAGAATTGCATTTTCTACAATTAATTTGTGCCTTAACTTGCACTATGGGTATTCTACTTCACATTAAAGAAAACAGTTTGTGGATTGCAATGATTTTTTTTCTTAAATACATTTCCTAATAAAGTAACTTTTTCCGGAGATTGTTAAGCATAGTATGTTGTAGAATTGGCCTATAAGACTGAAACTTTAGATGTCACCAATCCTAATGGGGTTCAATTCACCCTGAAACTTTGATTCAATTTGAGACAATGGTTCAAAAGTTGACCCTCCCAGGCCATGTCCCCCCTTAACAGAGCAAATATTACGTGGTTTCTAACAGGTTCGTAATTGGACCCGGTGGCCTGTAGGATTGGGCTTTAGTCTATTGTAGGCTGAGACAAAGTATAAACTGCATCAGCATTGCCTTTTTTTTTTCTTTTTTTTTTTTATATGTTTGGGCAACTGTAACAGGTGATGTCGGCAGCGTCTCCTCTCGGTGTTGTGATTGGCGTGACGTGCCTGCGCAGCGCGCTTCTCAGTTTTGTGAGCCATCCGGTCGCCTGCTGTGTCCCAACCGCCGTTGTCGTCTTGCCGGCTGGGATTATTGTCTCTCTGAGTTTAATTTAATACACACTGTGTGTTCAGACTGATGCCGCAGTTGTGCAGACGTCGTCGGATATCGTAGACACCGAAACGTGGTGAAGACTGCTGTGCAGACGACACTTGCGCCTTGCACACTCCCTCTCCAACGGTGGCCTGCCCCGATTCCACCCGTCACTGTGTAGAGGATTGTGTGACCGCTCGTACCACGTGGTAGCTATGTTTTTGGTGGCCCAAGGTCAAAGTTGCCCGACGGAGCCAAAGTTTTGATTTCGGTTTCTAGTCATGTTTAAAGTAAGATTTCACGAAATACGTCCTATATTTTGTAAAGCAAATGACAAAGTACTTTTCATTAGTGCCTTTTAATGTGAAATCGCTTGTAATTTCGAAATATTCGGAATTGAGTGGAGTTGCCACTAGCATGAAATCACGATTCCCACCCGTGGTGACGAGATAAACGGTGAAAAATATGGAGTTGGTGATCTATGGAGACGTGACCACAAAAATTTGATCGAAAATGTCAACACTGCTGTATCCCAAACGAACTCGCACGACACAGGAGCTGATACTACAGATCATGGACAGGGCAAATTTGCGCTTCACGGTGTGATAAAGACGCGGGAACTGACTGCGAATGCGCGTGTCGCAGAAATCGACGTCGCAGGTTGCGGTCGCATCAAACTGCAGTTCTGTCACGCGACAGACGTGCGGGAGCTCACTGCGAACCCACTAAGCTGGGAATGCATTAAGCAATCTCGTCGAAAATTAAGGACAAAAAGAAAATCGTCGAGGTACTCATTTGGCGAAGCATGTATGGGGCCAGAAGCCCCACGAAACCAAAGACGACGGAAAAACGGGACTGTTCAGTTCAGTTCAGTTTATTATACCTCAAAGGCATTTCAGATGAAATGCATTACATGAGGGGGGATCAAATGACATATACAAATAGCAGACGAGTGACAACAAGGTAAATAATAGGAAAACGCAAAAAACTACAAACTAATAGGACAGATATCAAAACATAACATGTAGAAAAAGTAATTAACAGATAAACATGTTAAAGATCAACACTTTTCAGGTGTGCCTTGCAGAGTTCACGAAATGTCTTAGGGTTAGATTCGCATACTATGGTTTCAGGAAAGGAATTCCAGTTAGTAATAGCGAGAGAAAGTGGGGAATTTCTTAGTTCTGGCGAATAGAGGTTTAATTTTTAGGCTGTGGTCATGACGCAAGACGTGAGGTGGTTGGTGATTGTTGGTGTTTCGAAAATCAGAAGAGGAATAGTAAGTTTTGTGAAAAAGCACAAGACAAGCAAGTTGAGCTCTTTGAGAGAGAGGGCATAGGTGAAGGTTGAATTTTAGCGCAGTTACGCTTGATGTTCGTGAGTAGTCGTGTGTTATAAAACGTGATACTTTGTTTTTCACCGATTTGAGTTTAGTAATGAGATATGATTGATGAGGCTACCAATTAAAGCTGCGGGGGAGAAATCGGGCGACGTCGAAGCAATTTCCCACCGGGTCGCGTGGCTGCACCCAAAACCAAAGTGGTTTTCGCAGGACGGACGGAGGGTTGCGGAGACGCCTTGCCACCGAGCCCGGCCTGGAGCTGGCCAACTGCCCACCTCTCTCCCCGAGCCGTTCGCCGCCCTTCGTGTCCCCCGACCAGCAAGGCGACGCCTGCTTTGTGGACGAGCCCGCCGCCCAGCGTGAGTTTGGCCTTCCTGCGACAGAACGGGGAACTCGAATGGCTGGAACTCGCCGTAGGCCAACACGCCGTTTACAAACGAATCCGAGTCTGCCCACCCCAGGCGGGGTCACTGTACTTGCGCAGAAACCAGATTCGCGTGAAGCAAAGCGTCTGCGCGTGTGCCGTGCCAACAGCGGTGCCACCGCAGCGGCGTGGAGCCGTATGTCGTTGTGGAGAGCCACTTGCAGCCTAAGAGACCTGGGGTTTGGCTTATTACGCTCGTTGTTCTTGCCTCGTTGTGGCGCCATTGTCAGTTAACACCGAATGCTCATTAGGTGCGGAGCGATGATGAGGTGCTTGTTAATCAGAACGCCCTGCCATTCTTATCGAGTGCTTCTTGAAGAAGCTTGTTGGTGAAATTACCAGTTCTGGACGGCAGGACGCCCTAGTAAACTCGCAAGAGTAGAAATACATGGGCACTATTTTTCCTCAGGGAGGTGGGGGGGGGAGAAATAGTGCCTGTGTAAAAAACATAGGTTTTTTGGGTGTAAAAGACGTAATGCAGCAGTCATTGTTTGGAAACGCTGTCGGACGGCATACCCCTGGTGTCTGCTCTGAGGCGGCAAAAAAAGGGGTGCGTCACAATCTCTGCTTAGATTTTTAAGAGGGAAATCGGTCGCCCGCGAGTGTTGTTTCGGGTATTTCTAAGATGCTTTGAACCCGTAGATTGAGCTATCATCATAATTGGACAATCTCAGATACCGCTCGAGTATCCGCTGTCCGTGACTAAAGAAAGAGGAGACTGAGACTTTATTTCCAGACAACGGGTACAATTGCGATGAAGGTGCTGGAAATAAAAAGCTGCTAGTCAGCAGCTTTGCACATTTCAGCTCTCCTGAAACTTGGTTCGAGCGATGCGATGACAGCTTATATTAATGCGAAAGCATGAACTGTCCCATGGAGCGAACCGACGTCATCAGTTTGAAGCGCGAAAACGGTACCTAGTTTCCCTGATCCCAAAGGTCCCATTGGCTGGCGCGCGGCGACGAGGCTCCGATTGGCCGCTGCGCGCGTTAGTTTCAACGACCGCCGCCAAATGGCGCTGCGTGTCCGTGCTGCCAGCATGCCAATAAAACTAACAGCCGCAACCCCATGCCACTACGGGCCCCGCGCCGGTTAAAACGGACACTTTGGCGCGCGCTCGGAGGCGTCTGCTGGTCTTGCCACCGACCAACGTGCCGTCGCCTCCATCATCCACATCGTCGGCGGTGCTTCTGCTCGTCTTGCCGACGACGAACATGGCGCCGCCTCTAGCATCCACATTGTCGGGCATTCATGCTTTCGCTTTCACAACTCATAAGAAGTGCTTGGGTGTCTTCCCACTTTTTTATAGACGAACATAATGTAAATGCACGGTCATACAAACACATAGTATATATACCATTTCAGCTAAGCAGGTTAAATATAACGGCATGAAAAAAATTTGCCACAGAAACGATATAAAAAGAAATGAGTATAAAACGACTGCCAAATTTAATTTAAAAACAACTATAAAAGAAACTGTGATGTAATAGGAAAAGGGTGTAAAACGAATCTGCAAAAAATGCCTTGCGACCACAATAAAAAGAGACTACAGTGCAATCCGCTTATAACCATACCACATATAATTATATACTGCTTGTAACAATGAGTTTCTAGTTCAGATGCAACGATAATCAGTTATAACGATTGAATTTTCTGGGTTTTCTCAGTATCCTTATGAGTGGATTGTACTGTATTCTGTAAAAAATAATTTAATATATAGATAAAACAGAAGCCTCGCAAAATGTTTTGTGTGATCCCCCATGTCTTCAAGGTGGTCTTTGAGTCTTCTGATAACTCGTCAACGGTCAGCACTGTATTCGTGCAGTTTGGTCTCGTTGTCGGGCTGCAAAACTGCAGCATGATGCTAGTCTTTCTTGCTGTCTTAATAACATGGCTTCGCTAGACTTGTTTTGAAAAAATGTGGGCTTCGAAAAGCATTGATCTGTGTACCCTTTGAAGTTGCCTTTGTCAATCATCTACCTTTGAACTCTATCAGTGAAGTGTGGTTGGAAAAATTAGTTTTTTTAGACTTCATACTTTTTATGGGGATGAGTTGAGCTAGTTGATTATGATACATTACGGGTGGAACCAACTGAACAATGAAGGAAGGAGAAACAGAAAAGACAACCACTCGCTGGTGGTTGTCTTTTCTGTTTCTCCTTCCTTCATTGTTCAGCTGGTTCCACCCATAATGTATCATACTTTTTGTAGCATTTTTGCAACCAAAGCACCTTTCCAGGTGTCATCTCTGTGTTAAAGTGTTGTTTCTTTGCTGTTCCAAGATCAAAGTTGTCACACCAGTCTTATAATGGAACAAATCTGTTTCCCATGGGGCAAGTTCCACATTATGCTACAAAATTCAAAAGAAAAGTCAGGTTTCTAAAATTCAAGTTATTGATTCTTAGACTGCTCAAAGTCAGAACCTGGAAAGCTGCTTCGTGTCGATTTATTTGGCACATTCACCTAGCAAATGCCAGCGGAAGGTTTATCACTGGGCATCCTCGGATGTTCCTTATTATTTGAGGAACATCTGAGGATATTCCTCAGGCATCCTGATCTCTGTGACGTTCCGCCGATACAGGAATGGGGCCACATTAATTGACAACCTCATTCAGTTTCACGCTAGGTGAAGGAGGTGATTGAACCTTACCGAGTTCGGTCCTATCCCTCTCTTTTTCAGCCGTCGTCCCCAGATCACCGAGGATGCATGGAATGGCTCACGCCATTCACCACAGGTATGGTACCGTCGCATCCCAGATCCCTTTGTTGTAGTTTTAGGAAGTTGGTGATTGTCGGAAGGACAGATTCAAACCAGCTTACGTCAAAGGCCAGTGGGGTTTCCAAGCAGTTCAACCAGGGTCTTCTGGGAATGCTGCAGAGTTGATGCACACCTCTGACGCTTACCACAACACACTTCAGATGTCATTGAAACATTTACCGTGACATCGGTAGGCTAACTGCTGACACCCAGAGGGCATTCTCCTTCAGTAAAGAATCGTAGGAATGGCATTTGTGCCCAGTTGTTTTAGTTGCCGGTTGACATGTTTGTGCTTGAGTGGTGCTTAAACTTCCTTTTTATTTTTTTTTTTTTTCTTGCTTATTTTTTATTAGTTGAGTAACCTGCATACTATTCTGTTTCATGTACTCTGAAGACCAAAGCATAGGTTTAATGATACTGGCCAAGGATAGCTATGTTTATCCCTCTGCTCCAAGATTGGCATGTACAGTCGAATCTCGTTAATTCGAACTCGAGGGGGACCGAAAATTTGTTAGAATTAAACGGAGTTTGAATTAATGCTCGGCGGCGCAAAATGTTCGAATTAACCGGCGCGGGCGTTTGAGCGCTCGAATTATTGGACGTTTTCGCCCATTGAAATACGTATAGTGTAATCCGGACCACAGCATCAGTTCGAATAAACCGAAAGTTTGAATTAAGCGTGTTTGAATGAAAGAGATTCGACTGTATTCACAAATTTCTTGCGAGTTTTTTGGAGCATTCTTTTTTTCCAATGAAGTGTTTGCGTTACACGGTGAGAACCCGATAGACTCCTTGAGATTCTGTCCTGTCATCCCGTCTGCAGATTTACCTCCAGCGTCAAAGTCACAACGTGCCAGCAGTGTGACAAGGCAATGTTCTTCGGCTACAAGTGCAAGGAGTGCAAGTGAGTGTCTGTTTGCTTGCGCGTGTGCTTGCATTGTAGTCATCGTGTAACCCCTTACTGGGGCTGACTTCTGGGGAAGCTCTGAGAGTTTTTGTGGTCGTTCATTTTAGCCCACCTACGGGGCAAGCCGGCCGTTGATCGTGGATTCCCATTCCTTTCAGGTTCCGGTGTCATAGGGACTGCATGGACAAAGTGCCGCCGTCGTGTGGGCTGCCCAACGAGCTGGTGGACGTGTTTGCAGAGCACATTCAGAAAGGAGGTACGTTCCCTTGCGAGACGTCCTCAATGGTATTCAACAGCCGCGGAAGACAGCGAGGCCGCGGGAAAGCGCGAGGAGGCCTAAAACAAGATGACAGCGGGAGTCATCTCGAGCAGAGCCGGCGGTCGCTAGAAGACTAACATTTGTTTACGTGCCTAAACATACGCCCCGTGCATTTCTAATACTTGTAGAAACCAGTCTTCTACGGGCATAGTTTTAGAGACCAACGCGCTGCTTCCAAACAAGCCCTTGCGAGGTGTGGGCAAATGTGCAGCTTCCGCTCGAGGTATGGGCACTGTGCCTGCGCAAGAACCAGATCCGCGTAGAGTGAAGTGCCTGCACGTGCACCCCGCCAATAGCAGCGCCACCGCAGCAGTGTGACGTCAGCGCCGTACATTGGTCTATAGCAGGGGTGGCCAAATGCAGCTCTTTGCTGGTCACGGTGCGGCTCGCGGATCCCCCTTAAGGGGACCCCCCTTACCCCTTTCTGCGTTCCCCCCCAGGAAAGAAGGAAAGGATTTCAGAACACAGATCAGCTTGCGGTTGGGTAGCCTTGTGCCCTCTTGCAGTCAAACCGCTTTTCACTGGTATGTTTCCACAGAACCTGTTTCTTCCATTGTTCGAGTGGACAGGGACTATCAAAACATGCATGCACTTTGGCTTGGGGTCGAGGAAATGGTCTGTCTCGCGGCCTTTGTCACTCGCCGGTGATATTTGTCCGCTTTAGGTAACAGATGTTCCTTCCATTTGGTTTCTTGTTGAAGGTCGCGGAAGCCCGGGTTGATCAGCTTCCACTAGTCACAGACATTATGTTCAAGTTCACAAAGGACCAGGAACATTTTCATTGCTATGTTGACCGGCTTGCAGTTGTGACCTGCAAGCTGCTTTTTTATGCTTTCGGGGAGGGGGGGGGGGGCGGGGGGGCAGGGGGATAACCAAGCAGCGGTGTTTGTTTTGACCCCCCCCCCCTTTACGGCGGCTCTTAGAAGTTTCGTGGTTTCCTTTGCGGCTCTTAGGCCGGGTCAGCCTGGCCACCCCTGGTCTATAGTTACAGTTTTTTTCTTTGTTTACTCGTACGTAGATCCAGATGCCAAAGCAAGTGTCTCTGCGTCCGACGGTCAGAATTTTCAGTTGTTCGATATGCTTCCACTGCCTTTCATCCGGGTGGAAAGTGCCCCGACGCCACAGTGTGACGGTTGGTCAAGAGAATGAGCACAGGGTAGATCAAGAGCAGTGGGAGCATCCTAAAAATGCAGTTCTCGCGCAACAGGGGGGAGTAAAGACGGGAGTGGAGCACAGCAAACTTTAAGGGCCGACATCGGTGGCCCAAGGAGATGGAACGAGAGAGAGGGCAGGAAAAGAAAGCAGACATTATATTAGGCCAGTAGTTGGCAAATTTTTTTATCCTGAGGAACCTCCACCTGGCCTCGAATGGTAACCAAGGGTCCACCCCCGGCCTCACCATTAGTGCAATAAAACAGCGCTGAATCCAATGGCCCTTGTGAACAACAAAGCAGATGCCGCTGGGAGCGTTTGGCTTAGAGTGTTTGGCAGAGAACCCAAATTGACTGGAAGTGTGCTTAAACTGGGAAAACGCTTCACTCTTGCATGAAGGCAGTGAAGGAAATTTGAGAACACCCGAGGGTACTCTGTGAAGTTCCTGCGAGCTCATTCTGAGAGCCCATGTGTTGGGCCTATTTGTTCTGCTGCGGAACGCCTAACTTGTGCAGTTGCTCGTCCACTTCAGCTTTTTCACGCAACACCGGACACCTGCGCTCTCTCATAAAATAAATCTAGGAAGCCCAAGTGCCGAACTTGCAAACAATATCAACGGAACCCCCCAATTTGGGCGCCCCCAAGACCACTGGCCTTTCTACAAGGCATGTCCGAGCGTTGTTTCGGGCAGAAAATGTTTTTCTATAAATAACCCACGAAAGGAGTGCAATTAAATAAACTTTTCAAGGAGATGTCTCAATGCAGTGCTTTATTATGCTCAAACTTCACGACTGTGGGCTGAAAGAAAAAGATTTAAGCGTAAAAAGTTTCCTTCTTCCCTATGTATGGGAAGAAAAATGGTAAAAACTGTCTCGTTGACACCGCTACTCACAAATGGTGCCACGCACGCTCGGATCTGCTGGGTCTGATTTTGGGCATTTTTCTTAAAGAAGCTTTCACGTTCATGCTTTATGGTGTGCCAACTTTGAGGAGCAGCAACAACAACCAAACGGTTTTAACCACTTTTCTCATTAAATTTTTCAAAATTGTTTTAGGCTTAAATATTTCTCCTGAAACCCAGGCTCGCAAAAATTTAGTACAATAAATGCGTTAACTAAAGACGCTTTTGCGAAAAGTTTCATCGGACTGGATTTGTCGGTTTATTTATACTAATTTTTTAACGCTCGAATGGCGCTCTCGGAAACATAGGGAACCTTCCATTTCGAGGCGGCCGAAATGTGCGCGAGTGCAGCAGACCTCCAGACTTACTACGTGGACCGCACGCTGTGCAGGAATCCAGTCGCCTAACCACAGCCAGCACTTCGGCAGCCCGCTGCACGTGGTGCCGCGGTCGGAGGGCGGCCGAGGCGACAAGTCCCTGCGGCACCACCCGGCGCTCATCAGCATCCCCCCGTTCCACCACGGGGCGGACTCGTCGTCCAACACGTCCTCCTGCAACTCGTCCACCCCCTCCTCACCCGCCTTTGTGCTGGCCCCTCCGGGCTCTCGCCAGAACACCCCCTCGTCGGCATCGCGCATCCAGCAGTTCCACTTTCCGGGTGAGCGGTCGCTGCGTGCGCTTTGTCTGTTTGCGCATGCCCGCTGTCGCAGGGGCTGGCTCGCACACTTTCGTTTTAATTACGCTGCCTGGAACGCGTTGTCGGCTGGCATGTTTGGTGTTCTCTCCGGTCCGCGTATCCAAAGTAGTCCCGAAGTAGCAACGAACGAGTTCGCAGAAGCCAAAGCCTTTAGCTGTCAGATGTCGCCATCGAGTTGGAGTGACCTTCAGCACAACAGGTGTCTGCCACGTCCGCGACAGCTGTCGTGACGCCGCCAAGGTCGTGGCCGGTGACGGCGCGGCACGCCTACGGCGTCGTCGGGCAGAAATAGAGGGACCATTTTCTAGGATGCGGTGAACGCACCGGTCAGAGACTCGTCCCAGGCACCATAGTTTCAATGTGACCGACTGCGTCGTCATTCCTCGCCTTCCATTACTGCGTGTTGTGTGGAGCTCGGTCGCTATGACATCCGCCTCTTCGTAAGCGGTCATAATGTGTACAAAGCTGCCCACCCTCCGTCTCGCCCTCAGAAGGCTGTCGCAGATGTTACGAGCCGTCCCGGCCAGTCGAGCTCCGCGAACATATCACGCTAGTGCACGGCCCACGAAGGTCGCGCGACCCTCGCGCAGCATTGGATCGGTTTCGGCGGCTCTCAAGGTCGTCCTTTGCGAGGTGAAACGGAGCTTAGCCCCGGTTAGCCTGGTGCCGATCAGCACCTCCCCGGGCTGCCGTCTAGGTGTCTAGAGAGGTGTGCTTCTTTCCCCTCTCGCAGACATTTCGGTCACGGAGAAAGAGCTTCCAGCTCCGACCTCGTCGCTTGCCCGCAGCGAGGTGGTGGAGTCCCTCAAGTCCACGGACAGCGACAGGACCGTTTCGGGGACCTCGGGATCCGGCAGCATAAGTGTAAGGCCCGCACTCGTCGGGAAGCGGACGAACCGGGGCACGAGCTTTGTTGTCTCGAATCCCCCCCAAGCCTCCTGGTTTGCTCGTTTCCTTCCGTAGGTACTGCCGGTGATGAGCCCTCTGTACGCTGAAAACAAGAGGGGCTGCTTCGGTTTCGGGAAGACGGGGTTACATTGTTCGTAGATTCTATAGTACTATAATGTCCTAAGAGACGGCCCGCTTAAGATCTAGAGAAAATTGGGCGAAAACGAAGAGCATAGGCCAACGTTCGGCGTGCGACCAAGAAAAATTTTTAAAAGTGTTAGTTGCCTGTTATTTCGGAAACCTGTTATTGCACTGGGAGGGCGACGAAGCATAGATAACCGTTCTTTTCCGGTCAGCGACATTCACTCGTTTCCCGCCATAGCCAACTGGCCCCATTTCAGCCGACATCATTGTCGTACTAAAAAAAAGTCACCTTAGGTGTTTTTAGAGACAATTAGCGGGTCGTGCCAGAAACGGGGTGCGGGTTTTCTTTAGGGGTATTAGGGCAGGTGCCGGAACTCCCCATGCCACGTTGTGGCGCCGTACTGCGGGACGGGTTCGTCGTCGCCTAGCACGATATGGTTTGCAAACCTGCGGTTAAGTGCAAAGCACTTGGATAATGGTAACAGCATGCTTCTTAGATTTTAGCAACAACAGTTGCTGTGCGCTGTCAGCCGTCGTCAAAGCAGAAGCATTTGAATAGTCGGTCACGGAGGAGTGGAACGATGGGGTAACGCTCGCCGCAAAGACGATTCTGTGGAAAGGTCCTCTTCAGCACGCTCGTTGTTCCCGTGCCCATTGCTTTTTTTTTGGGGGGGGTGGGTACCGGTGCTCGGAGTGATATTTCTGCGTCTGCACGCTGTTCCAGACCGACTCGGAGAAAACTCTGGCTTCCACGAGGGTGGATTCTCAAGACAGTCAGGTGTCGGACATGGATCCGACGGACAGGGCGTGGCCACGACAGAACAGCGTACGTATCCGCCACGTCTTAGCACGGGGGCGGCTTCCATGAGCTAGGCATCACATTATGAAAGAGTGTGCGTCACAGTAAATCTCCGCACGGCCCCTAAAGTCCTACTAATTAAGTATGATTTATAAATAACGGTAATAATTAATTGTACATTAAAACATATATGCGCCTTCGCGCCATGCACTCTGCGTGCCCCAAGGTTCTGCGTAGGATTTACAAACATTTAAAAAAATGTTTAGAAACATGAAATTTAGTCATTTTGGTGACATGTAATGGGGTCGCTTCAAGCAAAATCCTGACGTATTACGAAGTCTGCGCTATGTAATAATGTGCTTTTTATGACATTGAAATGCTCATTTAGAAATCAAGAAAATATTAGCTTTCTTTTTGTATCGCATAATCAATGTTTACATAAATTGCTGAAGTCTTGGAACAGGTTGCTATGAATTACGCAGTTTCATGACTGTGCTGTAATTGCTTACATTTATGACAGCTTGGGAAGAGTCATAAATGTCACAAGTTTGAATAAAAAGGATGCTGGCCTGTTCACTTTTTGACTTCAGTTGAAGTAAAAAAAAATCGAAAAGGTCAGCTTGTAAAGTGTAATTGCAGAAATTACTGCTGGCCTCCTAGCCTACCCATCTTTACCTTAGTACTCTACCGACAAAAGCACCGAGGTAAAGTTAAAACAGTGGAAACCAACGCGGGGCAGTTTTTACTGCTTTAACCATTTGTAACCTTACAAGTGTGGTACGCCCTCAAAATACCTAGTTTGTGCGAACACTCGTGCGGGGAAATCATTTTCTAGGGGCCACATATTTGCGCAGGATTTCTAAGCCATGTACTGCGTTAGTGTTGGGTGCTACAAAGTTGTTATTCTTGTCATGTTGTCCATGCCCCCTGGACATCAGAGCGTAAGGAATTCAAATAGGTATCCTCAAAGGATGGGTCATGAAACCGAATGTTGCGGCACTCTTTCTGAACTCAGCATAATTGATGAAGCAATTTCTTTTCAGCTTTCTTTACGAGAATGGGACATACCCTTTGACGACGTCCAAATCGAAGAGAAGCTGGGAGAGGGACGCTTTGGGAGCGTGTACAAGTAAGACAGACGCATGAATCTTTACGTACAGATATAACCTCCGTGTGTTCAAGGAAAGGTGAGAGCATATCTCACAAACGCACCGGTTCTCGTTTGCCGCAGGGGAAACTGGCACGGGAGTGTTGCGGTGAAAATGCTCAACATGGATCACATAGACGATAGGAAAACCCTGGAGACCTTCAAGCAAGAAGTAAGCCCCCTTTGAGCGCACTGGGCCCCCGTCTCTTCACTTAATCGTGACTTGCCAATTCTTCCTCTTCAAGGTGGCAACCTTCCGCAAGACGAGGCACGAAAACTTGGTCCTCTTTATGGGTGCCTGCATGAAGCCACCGAAGCTTGCAATCATCACGAGGTGCGCCTGCACAGTTTTTGCAGTTATGTTTTTGAAAGTGTGAGGCAATGTGCAAAGTGCCAGGTGTTACCAACTGCAGGATGCAAATATCTGTTTCTTATTGCTTCGTTTATTGAATTGACAGCAAGTTGCTGCTAAGCCGTGCTCCTAAAGTCTTCTGTATGTGACTTAAAATAGCCTCATTGGACACGTCGTCTGCATAGTTCCTGCTTTTAACTGATATGCCCTCATAAATATATGGGTAGCAGCTCTTTTGAGATCCTATACTAAATCCGTGCCTCTGACCTGCTTCGTTAGTTTCTTATAGTTTACCCATGTAGCCGACACGCCTTTGTAGATCATCAGGCCAGCTGAATTAAAGTAAACATACACACAAAGAAAAGACCATACACACCGCTTCATACATTTTTGGGTAGCACATCTATTATGACATTCAAGCAACCTCATCTGGCATGCCTCCACTGCAGCATGCTAGTTGCCCTTCGTTGGTTTGGCAATTGAAACCCCCATTTCTGATTCGAACTTGTTACGATATTCATTCATTCACCCTTAAAGGTCCTTTTTGGAGGACATTCTACACGAGGTCACGACAGGAGTTAGAAATTCTTCCATGTACCTAACCTGCAGTTTTTTCATCTTTCTTTCCTCACAGTTTGTGTAAAGGCATGACACTGTATAGACACATACATCTACGAAAGGACAAGTTCAACCTCAACAGGATTAGCGGCATAGCCTTGCAGATCTGCCAGGTGAGTGAACAGACCAGCATCCTTCCATCCTCTCGTCCTTAGTTGGTCAGAGTGAGAGCGGGCGTCTGGAGCGTGGTTGCGGTCACGTTCCAGGGAATGGGCTATCTGCACGCCCGCGGCATTGTACACAAGGACCTCAAGACCAAGAACATCTTCTACGAGAACGGGAAGGTGGTCATCACGGACTTCGGCCTCTTCTCCGTGACTAAGCTCTGCCACGGGAACCGGTGAGTTTGCCAGAGCACATCTAGCTTGCCTTTCTGTGCGTCACTGTCCTTCGGGTCTGCGAGGGCCCTACGCAAGTTTGAAGCCCCCTACTTTTTACTTTTGCATTAGAAGCTCCTCTGCCAATGAGAGTTTGCTACCTTCCATAACACTTCGACACAAGTGCAGCCAGAGCGCAAAAAAAATGCTTGAGGCGGAGCTTTTCGTGCAGATCTTGCATTGCAACAGATTATAATGGAGGTGCATATACAGCTAGAGCATGAATTCAGCTTTCCAGATCAGTTTAATTGACACGGGCCACTGGTTGAGATATGTAGTCTCGCAGGCAGAACGCAACAGCGCTTGTTGGTCTTTTACGTAATTGTGCTCGCACACTCATTTCATATTTTATGTGCTGTACGTGCGTGCCGCGCGATGTTGACGTGTAGCGCCTTTTTGTGTTGTGCGCCGATCCTTTCATCCTGAGCTTTCCCTGCTCTCGACTCTCTATCTTTCATGGTATTTTTTATGCAAGAGTGGGACGCAAATGCGCTTGATATTTTATATATTTTTGGAATTCTTGGATTGTGCAGATCAAGTTAGCACCATAAAAAAGATGAAGGCAAAAATTCCTCTTTTGTACTCTTAACGGCGAGCGAACAGAGAGTAGTGCGTGTATCTTCTCTGGAGATGTTTACGTGTACACTGCACACATGCTGTAGTAGTTTGAAACAGCCAACTGTGCATATTTATACAAGATTTACAGATAACTACTGCACGCTTTCTCCTGAGCAGATGCATATTGTGGCGGCGATTAAGAGGCACAGCTCAGTGTTTAATGTTAGGAACAAAGTTAACGTATTCGTTTGTCAGTCCGTCCAATACAGCAAAACCTCGTTAATTCGGATCTCATGGGACCGGCGAAAATGTCCGAATTATCTGAAAGTCGAAATATCGAAAGAACAAAGAAAACTGCGCGAAAACGTTTCCCTGTGACATACCTTTATTTTGAGAAGAAATCTGTTATTACCGCCTGCTTTCTAGACGACACTTGGGCGGAGACGGCAACTTTCCTTAGAGCGGTCAGGTGCTCCACTGCACCCGCACTGTCGGAGCTACGCATCCCGTGCGCTGACAATATAGCACAGCAGGGTCTCTTCTAGTTTCTGGTGCACCACCTTCCAAGGCCGCTTTCTTTTCGCGTAACTTCTCGTTCTCGAAAGCCCGTAGGATATCGGCCTCAATTTTCACGCACGTGGCCAAACTGCTTCTCTTGACGTCGTAACTTTCCATCACTTGTCGAGAGACACCGTCCTTCAAGGCCCTCAGTATTTCCACTTTCGTCGCTAAATTCTTAGCCTAGCACAGCGGCAACGGAAAACGAGTAGCACAACTAACCAGTAATCGGAGCGGCGAAATCGCGACACCCGGCACTATTTTTCCCGAGCGCGCCGATAGCGAGAGTGCCAGTCACGTTGCATTTTTCAACGCGGGGGTGGGCGGTGAAAAATTAAGGGATAAGATAGCTATTAAAATGGCGGGCTTTAGGATCCCCGCGTTGAGCCATAAAACGTGACTGTCACTCTCGCTATCGGCACGCTCGGGAACAATAGCCCCACGTGTCGGAATTTTGCCATTCCGGTCGTTGGTCACTTGTGCTTCCCTTTTTCCGTTGCAGCTATGCTTCTGCCGCTTCCATGCAAGGAGAGTAACGCGCTGAAGCACGGCAATATAGAGCAAAACTGGTGCAAAACATGGAGAACTGGAAGAGCGAAGAGCCATTTGAAAACCGGAAAAACCACATGTGCACCTCGGATGGATAGCGGTCATACCCTTTGGAACGGACAGTAGATAGCGCCACCTGCCGAATTTGTCCGAATTAACCGTACTGCGCCCCGTTCCTTCCGAATTAATGAGCGTTTGCTGCCATTGACTAACACATACGTTTGAGTGGACCAAATCGGTAGTTCAAATTATCCGAATTTCCGAATTAGCGGGGGTTGAATTAACGAGGTTTCAGTGTACTTTTCTTTGTTTCGTACCGGTGAGGCAGGTGTTGCCTTTATTCCCCCCAGGAAAGGCGACTGGCTGACGATCCCCCAGGGCTGGCTCTGCTACCTGGCGCCCGAAGTGGTGAGGAGCCTGCGTGCGGGCAAGCAGTACGATGCGGACGACCTGCCCTTCACCACCACATCGGACATCTATGCATTCGGGTGAGGCGCTCTGCTTCTTAAGGGAGCAGTCCAAATGCCGCCGGCGGGGTCAAGCATCGAAGCTCCTGGGACGACTCGCGTCGCTGCTTGTGCACGCAGTCTGCAGTGACGGAGCCGGGGGGCAGGCGTTTGAGGCTGCAGCCACTCCTGGAATGCAACACATCCTATAATACTCATAAGCACGATACCCCCCCCCCCCCTCGCGGCAGGCTGCTGCTACGTTGCAGCTTCGGGAATGTGTCGTGTTGGGTTTCTTCGGACTGTTCCCGACCATATCTAGTTTAGACGCTTTACACATGCGCCAGAAATACAGCTGCAATTCCTGACCTTCCCTTGTCTTACCGAGATACCAAGCCACTGAAGCGGGCTTTGACAAGCAACCACAAAGGCCCATACTGAGGAGAAAAACACAGTCGAATCTAAAATGTCAATATTCTGTCCTGCTGTGGTAATGATGAAGTGAAGTCATCAAAATAAGAGGAAGAAGAAACTGATTGTCGGTTATGGCGGCAATCATGCACAGCTGCTGTAAAGCGTCTGTCAAGGCTGATGAAAAAAAGAATGGCAGATGAGAGAGAGGTACAAAGTACCGTATTTACACGATTGTAAGTCGTCCTCCCCCCCACCCCATATTGCACATCAGCAAAAAAAGAAAAAAATTTTACTGCGAACATGTGCAGTGATGGAAGTGCTGCGCCAAGTGCGCCAAGGACGCAATCCTGCTACATGTAGCGCCAAATTGTCATTTTATCGAAGAATTGCGCCATGCCTGCGCCGAGATGAGATTTAGCAATAAAAAAATAAAAATTGAAGTCCTATCGGAGCGCGTGGCGGTACCGCGGTATTTTCCGCGCCGCAACTGTAACGCAAACCGAAACTGCGAGAACGCATTATCATCATCATCATTGAAAAGAACAACGTTAGCAACATCTGAGACCAAAGCCGCAGAGGCTAAGCGAGGAACCATCCCATTAAGGAGCCTATTAAAAAAAAAAAAGAAAAAGAGAGTCCGAGTTTGTTGATGTTTTCAATGTTGGCCCGTCCTGATCCCGTGCGCTAGCTACCAGCGAAGTCAAAGCTAGCGCGAGACCAATGCTCTGTGCATTCCTGACTCGCGCGTGGGCTTGTGCAGTGTGGGCACCGTTACGGGCTCCATGTGTGCGCTCGTAGCTTCGGTGCGAGCGCAGCTTCAGTGCACCGAACTCTGCACCGAACTCTGGATGTAGTGCTGGTTAAGCCTCACCGTCTTTTTTGGAGCACAAAGCACTGCGCGACTCGCGTGACTGCGGTGTCTGCTCCGCGAGTGTCGCTTCTCTGCAGTGCGTCGGTGCGTGCCAAGGAGCGCACACAACGGGTTAACTCGCCGTGATCCGATCGTGACTTCGCCAGCACATCGAAAATGAATCGGAATTTTCGAAGCAGATATCAGATACCGCAATATTTGAAGCTGCTGCCCAAAAGACAACTCTAATCTGAACTAAAACATTCCACAACACTGAGGGTCGTTAGATGCCGCTGCAGATACCTTAAAAGAAGTGCAGGCTCATAAAACTAAATATCCTGTACCATCAGAACTCAGTGTGACATATTTAATTGTATTTTTTTATCTGACAAGCAGACAAACTTTATTTTAAAAAAAAAAATTTTTTTGTGTTTACTTTGTTGAATTTCATATATCTTGTCTTAAAAAGGCGACAGGCACTGTGTTCCAATAATAGAGATGGGCTTTATACAGCAATGCAGCATTATTTCATTTTCAAGTAATATGCCAACATATGCCGGACCCTGCTCGAAAAGGGCCACTACCTGCTCCAAAACAACATTTTGCCTGCTACAAGGCCTGCTCCAAAAGGTCAAATGGCACTTCCATCACTGCATGTGAGAACGGCAAAGTATCTGTTTCGAAAGCCGAGCCTCCAACACGTGATCAGTACCTTCTAGCATGCTTTGGCTGCGCATGCACGCACGAGGTGCATGAGATGCCCAGGCGTTATTGAAACTAGGAAGTTCACACTGGAGGCGGGACAACTGAAGCTGCTCCCTGTCATTCTCACTCCGTCCGCGACTAGACTACGACTCGTCCGCACTGGTGGTGTCAGTCCCGTCGTCATCACTGCTACGTTCTCGAAGCACGTCGTTGGCGTCCAACGAAATCTCGCACTTCGCAAATGACAGTATCAACAGCATCCTCTGCGCTTGCTCGATAGCGCCCTTTTGTGGCGTACGTTGCAAGCCTGACCTCCAACTCTGGAAGGCATCCCCACCTATCCGGACTTTGGTCTGCGGAAGCCTCTTCGTTTGCTGCTCCACTGGAGCATCAGCCACTCCGACGGGTCAAACTTGCGTCCAAACAGCGCAGTTCTTGGTTGTTTCTGGGTGAAGAATGGCCATAAACGAGCACCGTAAACCTAAACTGCCCGGATCACGCACGTCAATACAAAAACACTTGGTTAGCTTTCCAGCATGACCTTGACACTCGATCAAACGACACGCGACCGTGAATCGTGCGAAAAGAAGCCGCGAAGAGTGAGCCGTGAGGCTGTTCCAGCGGCCTCCGGAGTGGCTGTTACAAGAAGTGCCGCCACCCCTGGGAGTCGGGCGCGTCGTGCTCTGTTCACTACCAAACATTCGGGTTAATTTGCGAATCACCATCAATAATGATCGTTTGCGCAAATAAAAAAAAAAATAATTTGCAAAATGAGCGCACAGAATAGTGCAATGCTACAGGTACAGCCAGCTGAACTCGTAACAAGCTGAGGTGTTCTTGAAATCGCGACTGTTTCGTTTTTGTTGGCGGTGGAATGCTTTGGTTTGAATATAAGTCTACCCCTCCACTTCAGATTTTCAAAAAATTTTAAAAGTGGGTCGACCTACATTTGTGTAAATACGGTAGAAGGGAACAGGACATGTACATTCATAAGAGTCTTAGATGGAGAACAGGGAATGTGGTAATCTTATCAGGAGGCAGCTGCTCTGCCGAGAAGGCTCAATAAGGAAGGAAAATGGGTGTTTCCTCTTCCCTGCAGCACGGTGTGGTACGAGCTGCTTTGTGGGGAATGGCCCTTCAGGGGCCAGCCATCCGAGTCCATCATCTGGCAGGTGGCGAGGGGCATCAAGCAGTCCCTGGCAAACATACAGGCGTCCCAGGACATCAAGGTGACTATTGCACTCTGGGAGATTCCATCTCATCGCTGGCTGGTTGTCTGAGACGAGCGTCTTGCCTTCTTCCGCCCTTTAATAAGTTCCTTAAGGGCATCTTTTTTTTTTTTTTATGAAAAGGACGATATACAAGAACTGTTTTTTTTTTATGAAGAAATGTTTAGTTTTTGGTGAAATGGCAAAATTGAGTTCAATAAAATAGATCCGGGCAATACATAGCCTATGACGTCACATTCATCCGCGACGTCAAACCTTTCTGCAGGCCTCCCGGCCAAATGCCCACCTCCCCCCCCCCCCCCCCCCCCATAAATCCTCCCCCGCCCCTCGGAACCGAGATGGCATCCTTTAAAGGTTTAGCTGATAACTTTAGTCGAAGTGAGCGGCTTAGGCCTTTCTTGAGCCCATGCTTTCGAACCCTTTGAACTAATATCCTGAAATTTCAGTAAAACAACTTTGATTTACTTTAAGGGGAGGCACTGCTTTTTGAAGCAAAAAAGCTTAGAAAGAAAAATGTTTTGAAATTGTGTTTCTTGAAGACTGGCAAGCACTTATCATCTTGTCTTGAAAGATTTTTGGTGAAATAAGTCTCTCTTATCTTGAAATATTGTCTTGTCAACAAAGTCAAGTGGATTGGTAGATGTTTTTTGCTATTTTTTCTGAGTGAACTACAATCGAATCTCGTTAATTCAAACTTGCGAATAGTTCAAACTAACATGCAGGTCCCATCCTATAGGCTCCTTGCACTGACATCACATCGCATACTTTTGATCATCATGTAAAAGGAGGAGAGGGAAGCTGCTTTTGTAAGAAGTTTGAGTGACAGGTTAATCTTCCACAGTGTAGACCTCATATAACGTATGTCGCGGGAGTCGCGAAAATCCGCACTATAAGCGGTATCGCACTATAACCAAAACATCAATTTTTCAGGCCAAAATGCATGCCATCAGACAACTTACCTTTATAAAAGAATTTATTTTATGTTAGATGAAAAATAAAGCTTAGTTTGAGGAAAGTCTTTATTTCACCAGACTCGTACACTTCTCTCTCAAGTGTGTCACGCATTTTAAAAGAAATGAGCGACTGTTGCCTGGCGCAGCCTTTTAACGGCGTCGCGGGTTGCGGACGGACGTTGCGAGCGTTCAGGATTGCTAACCCTAGTCACTTTTCTCCGGTGATCAAAACGCGTGAAAATTCGCATCCTTTATATGGTACGCGCCGGTAATACCTTCAACTTGAGCAGACGCATAAAATGCTCCAAATAAGAAATCAGGGCAATGTTCGAAAACACAAATGCTTAGAAATCACCACTGTAGTCGAAGTAGACAAACACGACGACACGAGCGTTTCTGCCATCTTGAGAGTGCCGCCACAACATCGCTGCACGAGTAGGTGGCACAGAACGAAAATTCACAGTCAAGGATAGCGCTTTTACGCGGAACGATGAGCTTCTACCACGCCGTCTACGTTGACGATCAAAACCGACGCCATGTTTGCGGATAGAAGCAGCCGCCCGGCCCGCGACCGGCGTGTAACGCGTGCGAACACTTCTCCTCGATCTGCGGAGGGACGCACGCACGTGAACGACACGTGCGTGCGTCCCTCCCTCGCTGTGGCAACTGAAGCCTCTCTCTTCGCTTCTCCCCGCTTCTTCAAGCAACCTCCTTGCCCCGCGAGTGCCGCTTGAGGCTCGCGCCGTTATCGAGTGTCGCACAGGGAAGCGTGCTCTCTGCGTCGGTCAGTCGGCGCGGTCGCCGGGCTGTTCCGAAAACCGCACTATAACCGGTATTTCCCTTCACGCGCCTGCATTTTAAGCGGTATGTAATTACAGTGGACTCCCATTAAACGAAACTCGCTTAAACGGAAAATTCGGATAAACGGAACTCTAAAGGTTGTTTCGGTTGGTTTCCTATGTATTTAATGATAAATTCTTCGGGTAATCGGAACCCCCTTTTTGCTTACTTCGGTTAAACGGGACCGAAACCGAAACTACCCATGGCGACCGCGGACATCGGAAATAGCTACAGCAGTCTCACAACCATGGAGTACGCAATAGCCAAGACTGAGGACACTTTAAAGGGAAAGGGGTTGTGTTAGAACAAAATTTATACAAATATTATTATAAAAAAAAAAAAAAAGTTGTTAGGCTAGGTGACGCGAGGTGCCGCTCGTTACAAAGGGTACGGTACAGCCATTCATCCATCCATCCAAGCCATTATATTAAGGCAATCCAATCCAGTCTTTCTACCGCCATTAGGGTTAGCGCCTCGTCTGTTGCGCGTCACGTTTACCATCGAGTACACAAACCAGCGTCCGCTTGCCGTGTTGTGATGGAAGCGGTAAAAAAGCGGCCGCACCAAGCGATCTCGCTTGCTACGAAAATGAAGATCCTTCAAGAGCTGGATCGTGGTGACCTCTCGAAGACGGAGATCGCAAGGAAGTTCGATATCCCGAAGTCTACACTCTCAAGGATATCAAAGGACAAAGAAAAGATTCAAGACGCTGTAAAGCGCGGAAGCTTTGCCACCGACCGAAGGAGGATGCGAAAGACGCCTTTTGAGGAAATAGAGAACGTCCTTTTTCTCTGGTTTAAGCGCGCGCGAAGTGCTAATTTCCCGATCAGCGGCCCCATCCTCGAAGAAAAGGCTGGAGAGATTGCGTCTCAGTTGGGAATAGATAACTTCAAAATGAGCGACGGTTGGCTCAGCCGTTTTAAAAAGCGCCACGGCCTAGTCTTTTAAGACTATTTCTGGGGAAGGTGCAGCAGTCAACAGAAACCTTTGTACCTCCAAGGCATGCACACCTACTTCGTCAAAAAGCGATTACAAAATGCAAAACAAACTACCATTACCTCTTTTTTCTAGTCAGCTACATTAGCTGGACATCATGCTTGTGAAATAAAGTCATATTTCACTCATTTTATGTGCTTTGCTTTAATGAAACTTCTGATAAACGGAACAAATTTTTCTGTCCCTTCGAGTTCCGTTTAAGAGGAGTCCACTGTACATGGAGTTCTATGGGAGGCGAACCGGTGGCTTAAAAAAGCCACGTTATACCCGGTCCTGCACTATAAGCGGTTACGTTGTAAGTGGTCTATACTGTATAATCTTTTGGGAGGAGAACAGCAACACCTGTGCAAATCCGGGAGGCACAAAGGAGGATCCTGATAAGAGGGGAGCTCCTTCTTCCCCTTTTCTCTGGAGGGCATCGAAAATGACGTCATGTGCAAGCCACGTATGTGTCTCTATGGGAGGATACTCCCGGTAATTCAAACTTTGCTTTATTCAAACACATTTTCGGTCCCCCTCGAGTATGAATTAACGAGATTCGACTGTATTTACACACTTTGCTATTTTATGGAAGCCATATCTCCACTTGCACATACACAGTCTTCATAATTTTTTTTCTTTCTCTAGTAGATGTGTGTGTGACCGTAGCCTCCTCTATACTCGCAAAGTCTGGCAGTTCGAAGACGGAGCCGTAGAGTGCCCGGTCGCAGATATGGAGCGCGAGGATCTGGTAGCACAGAGCATCAAAGAGCCATTTCTCGGGGAACCTGGACAAGCAGCGCACATCTTTTGCAGCAGTGAGGACCCGAAACAGACTTGTTCGCTTGGGAAAAGTGTGTTTCGGCGCCTCGCCGCAGCGGGGCGCCAGCCACGTGGCTCTCCTCTCATCCGTTACCTGCCGCTCCACCTTTTCCATTTCGGCGGCCGCTTCTCGTGGTGATCTGCCAGGCTTTGTCAGTATATAAGAGCCTATGGTTTGACATATGCAATAAGGGGTATAAATATAGTATTAAATATGGTAATCGGGCTTTTTTAGGTGTTTTGTAGGTATCCTGCAATAAATCATTTTGAAACTGGAAAACTCAGAAGTGTCATAGAAAGCCTATAAATCAGCCTAGAGATTTCATTTTTGCCTTCTTGGAGTCCACAGACTTTTAGTTTACTGATATATATTTCTTTCTAGATTTCTGTATTTTAATTTGTCTTCATCCCAACATCTTTGCAAATTAAATTTTCAATATTTACAAAACTAATTAGGTTACTTCAATACCAAGTATGTATTGTACCGTAATATCCCGAGTCGTCGCCTAAAATTCATAAAAAAAGTGAGGTGGGGCATGTCTCAGTCAGTAAGCACAAAAAGTTCAGAAAAAACTAAATAAACGTTCATTTTTCTGTACCTATCTAGCGTGGCTGCGCAAGAGATATATTAAACTCGAAACTCGAATTAGTTTCATTGTTTTATGCGAGAAATGCTCACGAAAGAATGTTTTACAATTGCAAAGTCCGTCGCTTGCATACGCACGATGAACACTGCCAATAGGCATAGTGTGAGAATGTTTGTTCTGCGAAAACACGTTTCCAACACCGCTATGTTCTCTTCGCTAAAGAAAAAAAAAAAAAGCCGTTTACAACTCCCTGTAACGCCGAATTGCAGCGCAGCTCTTGAGGAGGAGGAGGGAAGGATACTAAGGGGAGGGTATATTCCTCCTCCCTCCTCCCTCGTGATCCTGGGGGTCACGTGACCTGGGGGGGGGGTTACGTAACCTTACGGTTACGCCGACGGCGACGCCGCTCAAGCCGGAAACGGGCGCCTAAGAGCTGCGCTTTAAAAGTCTACAAGAAAATAGAAAAATAACGAGGCACAACAAGGTGAGCGAGCAAGCGGACGAAAAGGGGGGGGGGAGAGGAGTGACGAAGAGCGATGCTAGGGAAGCGGGAAAGTTGGCTATCGCGTTGTCAAATACTTTTCCGTAGGGCCAAGTCGGGCGCCTTGTCAGTCGCAAGGAGTCACTTGCGCAACTCTCTTGTTTGGTGCATACATGTCTGCAGCTGTGAGCGGCGTGCTATGAACGCGGGTTGAGGCGGCGTTGCTGTGTGATGTGGACACGGAGGTCGAAATGGGATGCTCTACAGACGTCTGTGTGCAGCGTTCCATCAAATCTTCATTTAGCCGTTGACATAGAGTTCTACAATAATACATGCTAAAGCTTTGCATACGCAAAGAATGGCGTCGTCGCCACGGCGCATGCGTCGAGCACTAACTGCGTTTTGCGCTTTGCATGCACTACTTTAGCGTACGCCATTTTCGGAAATTGTGTGCGTACGCAAGGAGTCTTTGTGCTCCTTCAAGGAAGTTTTGTGATAAGAAGTTGTCTAAAGCCAAGGCGAGCGCAGTTAAAAAATGGCGACTCCCAGGACGATGGCTCCGGCTGCTTTGGCCAGCGTTGGCTTTGGCGGCGGCGTAAGCGCAACGTCGGCGGCATTTTGCGACTGCAATTTTTAGTACGGGACGACGTTGCACTCTGTTTTGAAAACCCAGTAAGGTGGGCAGTGACCACCGGCAACTTGATGATTGCGACGCGTGCATATTTCTCGGCGGAGGTACTACGGTGTGCGAAGGTCAGTACACGAGACCTCTCTTGCCGATGCGATGCAAGCGGACACAACCGGTCAACTGCTCGCGTCGCATTCTCATGTTTAAACGAATCTTAAAAGTTGCTTTGGACCAAAAACCTTGTTTTTTCTCAAGTTACAGCATTTCGTGTCTGAAGTAAAAATTGTGACTGTATCTTAATGGCATTGCAAGCACGAGATGCTTAATCTTTTGCGTTGCGGCGGAGAAATGCTATTGTCAAACTGTCTTGCATAGCCTGCGCTAACTCAAATGCTAAATTTAGCACTAGCGTGCGCTAAAATAGCATACGTTATTCTAAAACTCCGTATTATCTTAAACATTGCACAGCCTTACTAACCATTGTCGCCACGTTCCTGGAAAAGGAATGGGAGGCAGACCTTGACCTTACACTCTGCAGTTACATTCCAGGATATGGGACGTTCGCTGACCTCGCGATCTCTAATGGGTTACTGCTGGTGTTATCTTCTATACTTTTTTTTCTCCGAACAAACTTTTTTGTAAGCAAAACAAAGTTTCATTTTGTTATTTCCATTGTTTTCCTCGCACGCATGTACTTTGACTTCGGGGTTGCGTAAATTTGGGGTTGAAATCCGTAAACAAAGTAAAAAATCTTTCCTTCCTTCGTTTTACCTTGTCACGGATGTCCTTCAACCGTAAGGTTCACGGCCGTGTCATTTGGGTAGGATGAATGTTCACGGATCACGGAGTCCGCTTGGGGTATTTGGTGCGGGCGATCACTCGGTGCTTTTTCAGGGGTGGAAGTGCTGCGCCAATTACGCCATTGTGCACCAATCCACTTTTGCTGCGCCATCCTGCTCCCAAGCACACATGTTGCGCCAAAACTAGCCAAACAAGCTTGTTTTTTTTTGTTTTGTTTTTTCCTTAAGGTTATATTTATTGGATTACTCTTTTTGATGGGCCACAGTGGTTTACTGTGTTGTGTTTGTTTAGGTAATTCTGAAAAAATAAGGACTTTTAGCAAACCGTCGCCGCGTACCGCGCACTATGGGAGGGAGCCTTTGAATCGTGCTTTTAAGCGCGCGCCTGAGTGGTACCGTGACCGCAGGGCGCGCGCTTAAAAGCATGGTTCAAAGGCTCCAGTAGTAAGCGGTATGCGGTAACGGTTTGCTAAAAGGCCCTATTGCTATGAATTTGAAACCGCCATACCGATGTGGTCGTGTTAATGGCGTGTAAGCCTGATCTCCGAAAATGACACATGCACAGGTCGCTTTGTCAGAGTACTCATCAGAACTCTGACAAACGACGAGACGATGCTTCAGTGCATCGTTTCGCCATTCACTTAATCTTTTTTTCCTTTTTTTTTTGCACAGGGACACTGAGCATGACCAGGTGTATTCGAAATAAGACACACACACATTAAATCGCCGTAAAGTCTCGTACAAACGCCCGCCCCCCAAAAGTTGCACATCCCGTTGTTTTTTTTTTTTTTTTTAATTTTATCTATTGCGTGATTTGCAGTATCGTTATGCGACAAGCGTGCTCGCCGCGGGTTCCCTCGTGTTTATCGCACCGTGACACGCGAATCTGCAGCATCCGTACTATGCAGGGTAGCCCTTCCCATGACATGCAAATTCCAAACTGGTTTCCACATTTCTTTTTTTTTTTTTGTGATTTTTGTGACTGCACTGTGAAGCGCGAATGTCGTGACTGCACTGTGAAGCGCGAATGCGCTGCGTCCACGTTCTGCTGCCATACCCGTAACAGGGGAGCGAATTCCCACACACTTATTGCACACGTGAGTTTGCCGTGTCTGCGATATGTATCAGTAATGAAAAGGCAGTGAGTGCACAGGTGAGCTGGTGATAGTTAACCATGATGTTTAAGACCCGAGACTGTAGTGAGGGCTTTGAAGTTGAAGAGTTTCCGTTTCACGTAGCTTGTAGTGCCCCCCCCCCCCCCTCCCCCCGACACACATACACACAAGCGTGCGTATGCACGCACGTGCACACACAAACACACACACACAATTTACTTTTTCATTTTGGGCAGACATTCTTCCAGGACCTTATGGTATATAAATATACATATGAGCTTGCTGGCATTTGTTTACCTATCGTCTAATATTTGAGGAAAGCAATGACTACTCTATAAAAAATAAACATTTGGCATAGTATATATTTATTTTTGCATGTTTGGGGTGCTTTTACTGAGGCTGCCTCCGCGTTCCTCATTCGTGTCGTAAACGTTACATATAAAAGCGATAATTGGTTGCCTCAATCATCTGTAGAGTTTCTTGTAAATGACGTACGTGGCGAATACACCTGCTGGCACCCAAACAGCAAGCCGGCGGGAGGACGAGGAGAACAGTGGGAATGTCCTGCCGAGCGAAGCAAGTTCTAAACCGTTGTGCTAGAACGCATCCAAGCAATGCGGACGACAAGTCGTCTGTTTCTTGCACAGGAGATGCGGTGACTTCAGGACGATGTTGAGGTCTGATTTGTTTTGATTGAAATGATAGTGGGTAGACCTCAATGCCAGGTGCCATGAGATATACCCAGTATCTTTTTAATCAGCCAATATGAGCTCGGCGTTTTGGCGTCACGCAACCCCTGTGCAAGGAGGAGACAAACTTGCGCTCCACATTGACTTAATAAGAAAAACCTTCCGTTTTATGGTCTTGCTAGTTTTATCAGTAAATTTTTTTTATTAAACTCCTAATCAAGCTTTTTTGTTTCTATTTAGTCAGTGATGCCTCTTTTAGTAAGAGTTAAGTATGTATGTATGAGCAGGAATGGTATAGGTGGTATCATGAAGTTTTCAATATTTTCCATTTGTACTTTTATCAGATAGAGTAGATTTGTACTCTCTTGAGTATTGGAATACTTTTGATTTGTACTCTGTTCAGAGTATTGGAATACTTTTGTTTGCTAAACAGGGACTTGAAACATTTGTATTTCCTAATGATGAACTGTAGTCAGTATTGGACTTTATTTCATATCATACTATGTATTGCAGCTTGAAATGGTTTTGTTTTTAGCTTATGAAACGTGCGATTTAGGTTGTTAAATAGTTGAAAATGCTTTGTTTTCATGAGGCTTAAGTTGTTTTTCTTAAGTTGCTTATGCCTACTATTGTAAATCTATGAGAGGAACCAACCCACTACCACTAGGACAGTTCTCAATGGCAGCCATTCAAATATCTTTTTTGCTATGGGCTGGAATATATTTAAGGAAAGGTCATGTTTGGAAATGGTTCTGGAATGTCACATGGAGATGCTTTTTTATTTATATTTCTTTTTGTATATCGGAAAACACATCTGTGCTTATAGCACTAAGCAGCTCCAAGATTTGCATATACCGCTACGAAACTCGATTTTTGTTGCTCCTGAGCTGCTCCAAAGCTGAACTTTTAGTGCTCTAAAGCTGCTCCAAAGGGTCATCTTTGCTGCTCCCAGACCTGATCCAAAAGGCTGAAGCTTGCTTCCACCTGTTTTTGGACATCGATATTCGCCTTAAAAGTGGGGTGGGCGATGACTCAAGGATTGGGCGGTGACTCGGGATATTACGGTAGGCAGATTGTAATGGCAGGTAAGCTATGTAAATTATATTTGGATTAAGTCACAAGTTATATAAAAGAGCTCTACAAGCAGTGCTGCCATTTCAACTGCATAGAGTTTGTGAGGGCGTCGGGAGAAAACCGGTGGGTGCGCAGACGAGTGAAAGGAGCGAACAGACTTGGACACTCACGTAGCACAAAATGAGGCTACGTTCATTACAAAAAATGCCTGCCGATATTGGCAGGTACATACTTTACTTGGGGTCTGCCGTTGTTTCTCGAGCGCTCGTAGGTAAGGTAACAGGACTGTGGAAATGTTTGCCTTTGACCTCGAATTTCTCTTAAATACCTCAACCGCACTTATTGTCCGCATGGGCAAAAGAGAAGGCAAATGCCGCAGAGAACTGCTTTGCGCCCCTTGAAACGAAGCCTCCTTCTCCGCTAAATGCGTTTTCCACGCACGCGCGTGTCGTCGCAGGACTTCCTGATGGTTTGCTGGTCCTACAAGCCCCAGGACCGCCCGGCCTTCTCCAAGCTCCAGGTGCAGCTCCAGAGGTTGCCCAAGAAACGGCTGGCACGAAGCCCCTCCCACCCCACGCACCTGTCGCGCTCCGCCGAGTCCGCCTTCTAGCCGACGCATTCGCACACGCACAGCCGACTCCTTCGCCCTTGCAGTTCGCCCTGTCTGTTGTCGGGGCATCCCTCGTTCGCTCGCCGCGCGACGGGAGTTTTCAAAAGCGGGATCGGGAAGTTGCCCGAACGTCCGTACAAGTGGCGAGTCCCGTTCCCAACCGTACTGCGAGCGACGCTTCGTGAATGTGAGAGGGAGGATCCCAGGTGAAAATGGCTCCGCTCGCAGCCGAATTAGGGTTAGCGACTGCTGACTTCGGACTGCCTCACAACCTCTTGTGATCTCTTACGACGAGTCGGGTAGCCGAGGAACACCTGCGACTTCCGTAAATTAACTTCTCTTATTTTTGCGCATCATTTTTTTTTATGTTGGCTCAAAAAACCTTTGACAATGTTATAAATGACCATTTCGATTTCACTTCTTTGTTTCTTCCTTCACCGTAAGTGATACGCAGTTCCAGGGCCACCTCATAGGTGGCGCCAGCGTAGCGGCACATTCTCTCGTAAGATATCGCAAGAACTCGGTCGTAGGCAAGCGCAAGTGTGTGAACCGGCCCTTATGGAATTGGTCTTAGCTGAATCCAGTTGGATTGTGTCATTTCTGACTGGATCCAGCTGGTACCAGTTTCATAATCCAGCTGTAGGTGGGCTTATTTTCACCCCTGGGGGGGAGGGGGTGCCTGGTTTCCATACGTACAGTGCATCAAAATAATAGAGATCCCCAGAAGAGGAACCTGTGTAGCATAATTTCGTGTCGCAGTTAAAACTGGAGCTTAGTCGTGCCCTGGCATGGAGTATTGCCAAAAAAAAAAAAAAGTGTTATTTGGAAGGTGCTTGCTTGGAAATGGGATGCAAAAGCTCATCAGCTGGAGGTGTGTTTCAGTTGGTAGCTGGTGTACATTTGTTGTTTTTTATCAAGTCACTTCGATTGGGCCGATTACCATGGAACTCTGAAAGGTCACTTATTTAACAAAAGAATGTTAAGAAGACTCTATTAGGAATTAACATACCAGGGTGACTGCCCGTTTCAGTATCCACTCTAATCATCTTGTATTTCTTTTTTTTTTCCCCAGAATGACAAGCTTGGTTATTCTTTTTTCAATACAATTTCGTTCAATTTGGCCGGCTCTTTTACACTAGCATGTCCGCAGCTTTTTGACCGGAGTATGGTGTAGTTAGACTGCTGGAACTTAGTTGCGTTATAGTTGGCTCTGTTGTAAAAAAGTGCACTGGTTATTTGGAGCAGGCCGTACGTGAGGTCCTCGGGGATAAGGTGAGCCGCAAAAAATTATAGACTCAAATTTTTTTTGACCGTGCTACAGAAGCTCGTCTAATTGTGAATAACCCCTCAACAAGAACAGTAATTAACTAATTTAATTCTAGCTGACCTCTGTATATGTGGAAAAATATGTGTGCAGCCAGGAAAGGAATAGACCGACACACTGTTTACAAACAAGCCCGCATTTGCGCACACCAGGTGTGAGCACTGCGCGAGCGCAGAAACCAGATTCGCGTGAGGTGGAGCTTCTGCGCATGCGCCGTGGCGACAACGGCGCCACCGCAGAGGTGGGACGTCACAACCGCGTGTTGGTCTATATGACACTGACTTTGTTGGAAAAGTGCCACGTCAGTTTTGAAAGGCTGTTTCTTCAATTTTTATTTTCCATGTAGGCAGTGTGATAGAGAATTTCACACACTATATCAGTGTATGTACGTTGGGGCTGTGTGTCTTCCGGAAAAAAAAAAAAACCGAGGGCAGGGAAGAGCAGCAGAAAATGTTATAGGAAGGTGCACATTTCTTCATTGCTTAGGGTTAACTGGGTTTATTTGTCGTTCTTATAAGCCCGGATTTTCGAAGACTAGCTCTTCATGATACTTTTTTGAGACAAAGACTGTTTGGCAGCCAGGCCACCTCTAACCCCTCACCAACCTCTCGAACATGGAAATGTTTGTCGATGACAGTTGTCCTTTCTTGTTAACTTTCTCCAATGCATTGGTGTAAAGTTAACATGTTAATCTATGTCTGCATGGACGGGTGTCGGTACCATTCAGCGCATTCCGATGTTGGAGCGAAGAGTGCATGGTGTCGTTTGTTTTCGATATTTTCCTAGCCGCAACAATTGTGATGGCCGCCCATCGAACTCTCCGAGAAGCGCTTGCGGCACTCGAGCTGTGTGGGGGGCGGCGCAAATTTCCAAATTATATTTGCTTCGCAGCCATCTCCTACATTGAAAGGGAAGTCAGCTGCGGTAAATCTGCGGCCACACATTGCGCGGCGAAGTTGACGCGAACACGGCCTCGGGACTTTTTTTGCATCTTTCTCGTCAAAGTGTACGGAGAAACAGAACATTACACCGCCGGAGCTCTTTCCCATAACAACTATAGTTTTGATGACTGTTTTGTTATTCTGAGATGAAAAACAGGGAAGCCAGCGCTGGTTTGTTCGTGCTGAGTGTGTCGCACTCCCTGTGTTCTGACTGCGGAGGGCGGTGCGTTCCTTGTTTTGCGTGGACTTAAGCTGCCCAGGTTTTGCCAGATCCTTTTTCTGAATCACTGGCGGGTCGTCGCAGCAGAGGCATTACGGTTAATGAAATGCAAAGGCACGCTGTGTACATAGTTGGATAACTAGTTGTGAGAAATGGATGGCGAGAGGCATATATACATATATATAAATACTAAATATATAGCATTGTAGATAGGCGATAAATGTCCCAATGCAGCGCTGGTGGAGGGTCACCTTAGTTGGAGGCGACGGTATGTGGCACACCTGGCTTGGTTTTCTTTGCAACAAATTTTTTTGCCAACCCAAAAGGCCAGAGTTTTAAGCTGCGGGAGTTTACAGGATGTCTTTTTTGGTGAGACAGTGTGTGCGTAATTGGCACTATAGCCAGCTACAGGTTAAGAAAAGTTTTTGAGGGAAAGGAAGGCTGGGGAGGAGGAAGCTGACAGAACGCTGGAAAGAAGAGGTGGTTTCCCCCTCCTCTCTAGCATTCTGTTTGCTTCCCCCTCCCCAGCCCTCCTTTCCCTTGAAATCGAAATGTTTTCTTAACCTGTGACCGACTATAGTATTTACCATGCACATAAAAGCCTTATTTCTTAAAGCTGCTTTAGGCTGTAAAATAATATCTCTTGTGAAAGCAAAGCCCAAGTATGAAGTCAGTATTATGTTTGCTGCGTTTTGTTTTGTGGTTTGTTGCATTCTTTCGAGTTCAATGGCGAAACAGTGTACCCCGCTTTTGACAAAAGACTGTGGCAGAGATTTGGAAAATTAAAATTTTGAGCAATACCCACTTTGTATAAGTGCTAACCAGTATACTTCCTTTAGAGCAAACATTATTTTGCACAGCTTGGGTACTTGCTTCAAGTGGGTCATGCCTTATCATTTTAATTAGGCTGCTTTCGAAAGTTGTCTGCCTTTAGCACTTCTTGAAACTGCTTAACTGTAACCCAGTGCGGGAAAAAGAAATTCCAGCATATATATTTGTTTCAGCATTTGAGCACAGCGGAACAATATTGTCATACAATAAGGTACTTTGTCCATAGCCCGGATTCGAGCCTGAATCTCATTTGTGCGAGGATTTCAGTTTCGTTACTTATTTTTTTTGTTGTTGGAGCATCGCAGAGAGACAGTTTGGAGACTGCTTTTCCCTCCCCAGAAAACAGTTTGCAGAGCCAGGTAGCTTCTTCCATGTTACTACGTGTAGGGCATTTCGCTGGTAGAAAGTGGCAAGCGCACAAGCAGCATTCATTCCATTCGTGGTGACGGGCAGCGCTTGCCTCCGCGGAAAGGCAACACTTGTTGTTTACAGTCAACGAAATCTGGGGTAACGAAGGAAACGTGAACATAGTCGGAACAAACCCAGATTTATTTTTTTATGTGTCCCACCCCCCCACTCTTGTTTGTAGACCTTGTACAGAGGTGTACCCCCGTCGTTTGGGACGAGTGAAACGTCGAGCGCTTTCGACGCTGCCAACTTCCAATTGGTGCACACGACACTTGGTTGACCACTGCTACTTGTCTTCAATGGCACCCGCCCCCGTGGGTGGACAGTTTTCGCTGTTGCTGCTGTACCTTACGAGGAGTGTCGACTCTTGCGGCACTTGCAGTCGACCTGAGTTGTGTTCATCGTGGACATGGCCATCTTTTCGAAAGAGTGGTGCTAGCCGGGTGCTTTTGTTTGCCGTCGCGCTAGGCTATTTGGTATTAGGGCCCATAGACCTGTCCTTTCGTGTCTGCAGACTGAGGCAAAAATCTTTGTAGGAGATATTTTTGTAGAAGCCATTGTAGATGCGAGCGTGGCACGCCACTTATGATTTGCCTGGTAAAGCAGGAGGCTGCCTTGAGCAGCAAGAATAGTCCTTTTTTTCCTTTTTTTCGTGATTGTAGCAAAAGCACAGCTTTGCCTTTCGTGTGAGTACCTGTTGGGCAGGCCTTTAAGTTGCCTGTTTTCATGAGACTGTCTTGTGAGACTTCAGAGATATTCTTGAATTACATATAGTATTTGTAAGGTTGTCTCTTTTCTTTGATAAAATACTTTGTGCTTACACGTGCAGATGCCGAGCATTATTGTGAATGTATGTGTGTTAGGCACCACTCTCTAAGCAGTTGGCACAAATGATTTTGAATGGTGCAAGGCCGGCGGTTGGCCTGCTCTTGGTTGCCGGTTGTGAAGCAAGATGCAAATTTCAGAGTTTTATCAGAATGCGAGAGTGGCAGGATGTATTGCTAGCTTCAAATGATCTAACTAGAATAACACTGACTTTTTATTTAATACTTTGTACTATGTTACGCCTATTACCTTTATGGTGCTGAATGTGATACACGTGAGAGCATTCAAACTGACATAATGAAAATAACCAAATCTGACTGCTGTTTAAATTTGCAACAGCTGTTGGCCTGTGCTCATAACTGCAATTTAGGTTTCACCGTGTCTAAACCCAGGTGTTGTGGGTTTTCAATTTTGGTCATATACCTTAAACATTGCAGGTGTTAAACTGCTTATAAATTTAATCTACTCACCTAGTATTTTTTCAATGTGGATAGAATTTGCATTTGGCTTCTTTATGTGTGTGTGGTCAGGTACTATCAGTTATGGAATGGTACCTAGCATATCTCTGCATTTGCCTAGATGCTATGTTAATTTTTAGGGACTCTGTTACCACTCTTAAGAAGAGATAGATTCAATACTGTTTCAAAGGGGTGCTGAATTTACAGAACTCTCTTGAAGAATGGTCTACATGCATATGAAAATTTCTGACACTGCTGGTCTGCCATCTCTTCTGTTTGTCTTGAACTGTTTTAGGTTTCTTATCATTGCATTGCTAAGTCCAGAGAATTGTCATGCTTTGTTGTAATGGTGTATAATTCACTAAATGCAGACCTTGGGGGTATGTGTAAACATTTGCAATTCGGTATTGTTTTGGCAAGTAATATACTGCTGGAGTTGCGTCATTTGTTTCTGACAAATGTATAAGGCAAAAATATTTGTATGATGGAGCTTCAAGAGTTGTGTGGTTGATGCGTGTACATACATTGATTTCTTAGGGGTTGTTTTTTATTTATTGTGATTCTGTTCATATGCATATACCTACGAGGCTGATGCTCGTGAAATTAAGTACTAGCTTTTTAATACCGTTTTGTATTGTTTTGTTTCAAAGACAGAGCTTTACTTATTTGACTAGTGGTTGAAGACATCCATTTGGTAGTTATATATTCAGTCTAGAGGAATGTACAATAAAGGTATAGATGACAGCGGTGGCAAGTGCTCTGGTTCCTTTGAAAGAACCCTGCAGGGGACACCTGCACCATAAGCAGGTGTTGGGTGAGTCTCGTCACTACGGACTGCGAGTTCAACCACCCACCCGCGCCTGGCTGTGTATGGCATGCCCGTTTCCGCAGAAAGGGACATCCTTGTGGTTGAGCCTACCTGGGGTAGGGGGTAGGTTTGAACCCTTTGGGGCCCCCTGGGGAAAAGCAAGTCACCATATTGGATCCCGCTCCTCCCCCCCCCCTCTTTTATTAATATTATTTTTACTTTTTTTTTTCATTTTTGATTTTTTAATACGCTCTTCCTTTCAAATGTGTCAGCATTCATTGCCCCGGCATATGCAGCCATCTGTAGTTTGGCCTGATTTCGTAAGGCCGTGGCGCGGTTCCCGCCATGCTCTCGTTCCGTTCGTTCGCTCGTTACGTCCACTTTCTCTTTCAAGTAAGAGAAAAAGAGTAATTGCACGCCTTCAATCGGGAGTTTTAGAATAACCGTGCGCAATTTTAGCGCACGCCAGCGCGAAATTTTCGCGCATATTTTTCGTCCAAGCATGTTCAAACCGGGAGCAACAAGCGCGGCCTCAATGCGTTCTAAACGTCCCATCGGTGGTTCTTTTACGTCGTCAACTGTCAAGAAGAGGAAGGGCTTAGCCTCGGCCAAAACTTCTACAGATTGCCATCGAAACCGTTCGAAGTCGAGCGGAGGGAACTATACTTGGCCGCTCAGCGCACTGAGTAAGCGAGACAGTGGATTTTCTCGCCCTCCAGGTTGTTCTGCTAATCGTAATTGTAATCTTTATTAACTCAGGACAGCCGTGACACCGCGGAAAGGCGATTGCCCGTACCTTCGAGGCCTGCGGTGCCACGTCCCACGTAGCACAAGAACATACCGAGAACTTTCCGGGAATGTTCAAAAGAGCATAGGCAACATACTTGGATTGTTGCAAATTTACGTAAGAACATTCTATCAACCTTGTCAGAATTTGGCGCAGGCACTTATCGCTATATTCGGGGAATGTTTTCTAAGGAACATTTAGAACGTGCTGAGAACGACATAGAACATTACCAGGACATTCAATTAACATTTGGAGTAGCCGGCGCCATTTCTCCATAGCACCATCTATTTTCTTCTTCAATCAACATTCAAATACCCTAGCAAGGCTCTAAGAATGTTCTCAAAACATCCAAAGAACTTCTGCAACTTTATTGAAATGTTGCAAATTTATGCAGGGGCATCCTTTCAACCTCCTCGGAACGTGGCGTGGTTACATGGTTACATTCACGGAACATGCTCCGAGGAATAAAAGATTTCACAATTACGGCTTGCTTAGGAGCCCCAGTGAGCCGCACTACATATATGGATGTGATAAAGGTCCTCACAGGGCGATATTTTTTTAATCGAAACTGATTTTTAGAAGGCGCCCAAGCACAAGCCAGCCGCTTTCCCAGCGCACCAGCCCGAGCACGTAATAATGACAGTTTACTCCTGCTTGTCAACTTCTTTCATTCAATGTGTGCTGTATACATAACCGATTACTCACTCCGAACTTCAGAACAGATAACACATGCTATCCCCCTTTCAACTGGGAAATACGACGAAAATAATCCACGGAGAAGGGGAACGAGAGGAACAAAGGACACATTTTCGTCATTCTTGTCCAGCTCGCTTGCACCCTTGCATTTAATTGCATTATAATCATGGGAAATACCCTTTTTCAAAGTTCTGAACTCCAGATACTAAAAATCGGCTCCATTCAAAACTGCCCCTATAGGGAGTTTTCACTGACGTAATTTCGCCCACCATTTTGTTGTTGTGAGCTATCTGGCGTGTGTCAAACTCGAGCATTCCAAGGATTTACATGACCCCTACAATTCGTAGAGCACATAAGCTTATGTCTTACCACGCTGATATCATCTCAACCGGTTGCGATGTAATCCTTCAAAGTAGTAAATTTGTTTGAAAAAACAAACTAACAAAAAAATGGCGGATTGACGTCATGTGCAAACTACCTATACATACGCAGTGAATGCCAAGTTCATTATCAAATTTTGAAAACCATTGCGTTTCTCCTACACGTTCGTTATTTCACATTCCTCGGTAGACTCGTACAAGATAAAATTGATCCTTTATGCTAAGTTTCCAGAAGCTCCACTTAATTTGCATATTTTTGGCACAAAGTGGCATATAGTGCAGGGTGTTTCAAACCACAGGTTGTGTGAGATTTCCGTAAAGTTGGCTTCACCTGCGAACATTTTAGGAATGTTCGCAAGCGAACGTTCCAAGAATGTTGCGCATACGAATGTTCGAAAGGGAACGTTCCAAGAATGTTGCGCATACGAATGTTCGAAAGGGAACGTTCCGAGAACATTCTGCATACAAATGTTCGCCAAAGAATGTTGAACAGCTTGCCTTGTAGGGAATGTTCGCATACGAACGTTCCGAATGGTGTTTTAACGTTCCTTCAACATTCAGAACATCCAGGGAATTTTCGCACTACATTGGGTGCTACTTGCGGGTCTAGTGATGATGATTATGAGATGATCTATTGAAGGGGAGGTCGACGCGGCCTTTTCAACATCGTAAGCACCGTTGTTTGAAGGTTCGGGGTTCAAAAAGACGCTTCTACCAGCTGTGAGAAATGTCTTGGCAAAGGATGGTCCCCGGAGGTTTCTGTGCGTTGGGGCTGGGAAAGCCCTGGCGGTTTGGTGGTGATGAGCCTGATGAGTATACGGCGAGCTCTACTGATCCGCCGCACGAGGCTTGGAGGTTCGGCGGCGGTTCAGACCAGTAGGCCCCAAGGTGACCTTCGGCAGGCTGTTCAATGAACGTTCTGGAAGGTAAAGCCTTGGCGATTGATGGTGCGCGCGCTCGCTTCGTTGAAGGCAGCGGCTCCAAGTAGGAAGGCCCAGACGAGAGCACTAGAACGTAGCGCCGCGGTCACTCGGTGTAGCTTCCTGGCATAGTCCTTGGCTCCCTTCTGCTAAGCACGGCTGTACGATCAAACGGCCGTGGCATGCATCGCAACGTGTGTCATGCGAATTTGACGAAGAGAAGCACGCTATACTGTCCGACCAGTGGAGCGATTCGATTGAACTACATCTTTTGCAATGTGAGATCAGCAGTAAAAAAGCCCAGGGGCCCTAAACTCGTCAAGCACAAAGTTGGAGCCGAAAGTTCGCGGAGCACGCCGATTGGACATTGGCGACAAAAGTGCCAAGTCATCGTCGTGATTGTCCAATCGGTTCGCTCCATCAATTTCGACCCCAACTTTGTGTTTGACGAGTTTAGGGCCCCAGGGGTTTCCCCAGGAATTGAAATTAGTGTGTGTGGGGAGGGGGGGGGGGGGGGGGGGGGGGCGGCTATATTTTTAGGGGTGGGGGGGAGGGCATTGAGAATAAAGGAGTTGCGAATTAAGGGGGTGACTTCAGAGAAACAAGGGGGATGTGTAGGGAAATCACTGGAAGCGCCGTCTCCAGCGAAAGCTTTCCTTTGAACTTCTAGCTGTATTAGATCTATTCAGAGCGACGCCAGGTACTCCAGTATTCTGATATAGCTATGATCTGGCAGCGGATTTTCTTTTAGCACACCACAGTATGATGTGCTACAGGAACTCCGCCGGCATAGTAACGAACAAAATTATCGAAAATGAAAACCTTCTTTTGCCTTTCCAGATTGGGAAACCACTGGACGAGTGATTCCATAGCAATCTACAGTTGCTTAGAAATTGTTATTGTCAAATCTATAAAGCGTTCAATCGAGGGAGTTTAGCAACTTCTACTTTGCACCAGCTTATTAGAAGGGAGCTGCTGCTGCGCTGTCATCGCGCGACGCAGCAGAGGCTGGTTGCACTATCTCTCCACGGGGCGCAGTGCCGCCGGGGCCGAAATGCGCTCCGATAGCAAACCGAAACTTAAACTCCGTCGAATTTGTGCGGTTTTTCAGAAGGCCGTAAAATGCTTCGCATGCCTTCTATCGTTCTGCAATTTGTTGATTTAGTGTTTTTCGATGATGCTGAGCAATTTTCTGATTGAAACCATGCCCTTAAACACAATATAAAAAAAGTTAATTACGCAAAATAAAAAAAAAAAAAACGACCGCGTCTCCACCTGGTGAATGATGTTGATTGGGGCGAAGCTCTGGTGGTGCTGATGATACTGATTTTGTTCATAAATAGTGCTGATTTTGACCGCAGCGCCCTCTCGTCTATAAGCGTTGAGCCAACGCGATTATATACGCATTTGACCGCAGCGCCCTCTCCTGTATAGACGTTGAGCGGCTAGATGCAACGTTTCATCCATGACATCCCCAGCTCTTGAGTTACTACCACATCTCAGAGCCCCCTACTCGTCCTGCGGTCGCGGCCGAGTGGTTAAGGCGATGGACTAGAAATTCATTGGGGTCTCCCCGCACATGTTCGAATCCTGTCGGTTGCAAACATTTTTTTCTTTTTTTAAGAAGACAGATGGGATGGCAATTGATGTGAGCACGGACGCCGGACGGACAAGGCAAGGCTAGACCCTAAGGAGCTTCGCCCCTAATAATTAACAACCTAATTATCCCGGACTTTAATACTTTTCCTACATAGGCCTCTAACCCAGGACCAAAACGACATAAGCCTTTTTTTTTTCTTTTTTTGCGACGCATAGTTTTTGAAATATCGAATTTGTCCACTTTTCGTGAAACACCATGTATATTCGCACTATACCACACCACTTTGTCATTTGGCATTTTCTACCTGTCTCACAAATGCTCCCAATAGAGAACGTGTCCAATCAGAGGTGTTCTAGAGCAGCAGTTCTCAACCTTTTGGCCGTTGCGGACCCCTAACTGACACAGAGGACGTTGAGGGACCTCCACTGAGTACAATACTGATTACGAGAAAGCACAGATAAAAAGGCACGCTAAGCAAGGGTCAGAAAAGGGGACGATAGAGCTGCTCGTACTATGTTACAGCCTTATAGGTCTTCGTATAAATTGGCTCCCTCAGTACACGA